AGTTTCAAGTCAAAAGGTAAAATGGTTTTCCACTTATCGTGTTATCGGTGCTGCATATATGCTGAAAAAAGTGAAAAAACAGCATAAATTCCCTAAAAGTGACCCGATCATGCTGATTTTCGAACTTGACCTGCGTATTATGAATATTCATCAGTTCTGTAAGTTTCAAGTCAAAAGGTAAAATGGTTTTCCACTTATCGTGTTATCGGTGCTGCATATATGCTGAAAAAAGTGAAAAAACAGCATTAATTCCCTATAAGTGACCCGATCATGCTGATTTTCGAACTTGACCTGCGTATTATGAATATTCATCAGTTCTGTAAGTTTCAAGCCAAAAGAAAAAACAGTTTTCCACTTATCGTGTTATCGGTAAAAGTGCACGGCGACGACGGCAACGACGGCGACGGCGACGACAGACGCAGATGATGGCTATATGTACAGACACATCTGTGTCTGTACATAAAAATGAGAACAATCTGATGCAGATCAAATAATATTCTTAAAAGACTGACCTACCTGGGTTGTACCCCTCATTAACAACATGCAAATATTTAAAATATGTACAATTCATAAATCAATATACAACACTGAATGAGGGAATTGATTTGTTCAACAATGAGGCATAATATTAATACAGAAAGCAATTAAACGGTTACAGTACTGGAACATTTAATTTCTCATCCAAAGGAACAGCTTCCTGAAATGGTGTTTTCTAAGCGACTCCTTCCATGCTGAAAGGACATATACTGATTCAATTTTTAGTTCAATTTTTGGAAAAAAACTTTGAATTCCAATACTCAAAGAATGCAACCCCACAAATCTCACCTCTCCATACTTCTGTACTTCATTTGGCTTATCTGGCCAGTATGGGAAACATTTTTCTTTTCCAGCTTCCTGTAAGATAAAGTTAATTAAGACTTTTTAAAGCTATATGATCATTTCAAACATATTTCACCTGTTAAGGATTGCTCATATTGTTACACTTTCAACAATAAGTGCAGGATAAAGGTATTTGATTTCATCGCAAAATTAGCAATAATAAATATAAATAAAATAAAAAGAAATCAAAATAAATTATAGTAATTCTGATATTTTGAATTTATTAAAAAAAAAATCAGTTAGAACAAACAATCAAATATAATGACAGTTTGGGGATAAACTGTTAAAAAGAGGAAAATCTTTTATGTATATAAAATCTACCAACGTACCATCAGTTCAGTCAACATGGATATCACTTGGACATCCCACTCCCACACAAGCTGCCAGAAATCACCTGCAGTTTTAGCCATTGGAGCTTGGGTGGCAATGTACCAGAAGTCCTCCTTCCTAATCTTCAGCTACAGAATGGAGAACACAACTATTAGATACCACATTGTGTAGCTCTCCATGCTAGAGCAAATGCAACTTATTCATTTTACAAATATTAAAAAGCATGAAGTCTTCCTAATCTTCAGCTACAGTATAGAGAAAACGACTACGTATTAGATATCAAATTGTGTAACTCTCAATGCTAAAGCAAATGCAATGTTTTCATCTTCAGCTACAGTACATAAATTCCATGCAACTTATTCATTTTACAAATATTAAAAAGCATGAAGTCTTCCTAATCTTCAGCTACAGTATAGACAAAACGACTACATATTAGATATCAAATTGTGTAACTCTCAATGCTAAAGCAAATGCAATGTTTTCATCTTCAGCTACAGTACATAAATTCCATAACTGGTATATATATTTTAATAACTTAAATCCACACATTTAATTAATTAATTTAATCTCCATTTGCTTTCCCCCTACACAATTCAACAAATTGTACAAAATTTCACCTTTATATGTGATGCATTGATAAATCCAGTCTTGTTCTCCTTGGTGGGTTTTAACTTCACTCTGTTCTCTTCATATGGGACCACATCCTTGAATCTGTTTCTGTCAGTATTTTCTTCTTTCAGTGCAGTGCTGCAATCGCTTTTAGCCTTTCTCTTTGGCAGTTTTTCGTACTCAACAAAAACTTGACCCTCTTCTAACTTGTTCTCTAAAATTTTTCTCTGAAAATAGACGTTTAATGGTACTTTTTAAAAACTTTCACATGGCATTGACTTCAATCTAACTTTTTAGTGTAAAGAAATTATATACAGCCATAAGCAGTATAGGAAGGTTACACATTGTAAAAATGATTTATTATATAACTATCTGGCTATAGCAACACCATGCTGCTCTCACAACAGACAAACATTCTGTTCCTTCTGACTCATCAACTATAATAAATGATATGTCTGTGAAAATTTGCCCCGTCATAAGTTGCGAAAAGACCTGTCAAGGAAGGGAATTGTTTCACATTACAGCATCAAATGCACTGCCAGTCTCAGTGAAACTTTGCTAAATATTTAACGGTATTAAACATTTTGTGGTTTTCAAGTTTCCTAATGAGCAATTTTGGGTGTGTGGGTTTTTTTGGGGGGAGGGGAATGCCTGTCAGCTTTTTTTGTTTCGTGGTGCATAACTGAAGCTCATTTCAGGTCAAGTAATTATCGACATGCAAAACAGGGCTTGTTTATTTCTGAAAAACAAGTTCAATTGTGACATCATCTTGAGTGAAGTAACACATTTCGGAATACTTTTTACACATACTTTGATTTTTCAAGTTGGTGAAAGTGGGCCATGTTAAAAAGCAAGGCAGATGTTATCTGAATCTGAAAATACAGTCACATTTGTGCAGTACTGTTTGCACACACAAGACTGCAAAAAAAAAAGGTTCAGTGCATCATTGGGGGGGGGGGGGGAGGGTTATATAAAGAAACATACTTTGTGTTTGAATAAAAAAAAAACAGTTCACTTACTCTTTCATCCTTGGGAGCCCTGGCTTCATCATTCTGCTGTGCTTTTAGTGTTGGTCTTGACACAGTAAGCCCATTCATCGCAGCCAGGCGAAGGGGGCCAATACTTCTGTGCTTCAACTCAGAGTCCTGAATAATATATATATTAAGTGTTACTAAAATAACTTAATGTTACCATTTCAGTCCACTCATAGTGATAACCACCACATCTAATTTACTAAAGTCAACACCATAACAGTCTGAAATTCTATCTCCAGTGGAAGGTTTATGCTCATGCTAGCTAGCCCAAGTCTTTTCTTGTCCAATACAATCACTTTTTACCCATCAAATACAAAACAGAAGTCTGTCAAATTACTTTGGTAAACCAAATCCATAGTAATACCTCGATAGAAATGACTTTTGGTGAAAATGAGCCATTTGCCAAGCTGTGGCTTCTGTTTGCAGTGATATTACAGTGTACAAATATGGCTGACCCTTAAGTAAGTGTATACACATACTTGTCATGGAAAAAGTGTTGAAAGTTAATCCAATCACAGCCAGGCTACTCTGAGCATTTGTTCCTGATGGAAATAACATTAGTGCCCAAAATACTGCTAGTAAACTAAATTACTGTGAAAAAGGAGACTTCTTGGAATTTGTTATGAGGCCTTCGATTGTTTAAAAGAAGGAGTGCCTAGGACCCTTGTAAACTGAAAGAAGTCTGAAAAATAGCAGCGCTGTCTGAATTTTAATATTATTCTGTAACTTGATTTGTCTGGGTCAACAAATCCCCCATTACATCACACTGCATATTTCAGTCCTATATTGATCAACTTTTCTTTCCCACAGCATTTCACTAATATAGATCTCAGATGAGAAGAGGGAAAAAATAACAAACAGATTACCAATAATGCTTTTGAATTTTGACCCACATGCAAAAGAAGTCTTTTCAACCTACCTGTCAATAATTTAAAGCTGTTCAATTGAAATGTGACAAGACAACATCACCTTACATGTTTAAATCACTTTTCTTCTACAGCAGTTGATACATATATAAGTAATCCCAAACTGCCATTAAAAAATGATCCTTGCCCTACCTAATGTGCTTTAAAAAGTCCAAATGTCTTTCTCTCCAAATAACTTTCTATATTCTTAAACCTTAACAAGTAAACCGACCAAAACATCAATGTCAACTGCGTAGGTGCATGATCTAATATTTACAACCAGTAGATAATCTAAAGTGCCTCAACATACCTTTATCTCACTTGACCTCTTTTGCTTCACCAAGGACATCCACATTAAGATATATTTCAACAAGAGTTCATAACCTGACTGTGTTGAGACAATAGTAAGCAAAGTGTGACTTAAAGTATATTCAACCTACCCACTAATAGCTCCAGTCCCGATAAAAAAATAGAAACAGCTGACTTAGAGCAGCACCTAGTGTTGGCCTACTATTTCGTTGCAGACACGCGTGCATGACTTGTTCGCTAACTGGGCCAGCTTAAAAGAATCTGCAAACAATTTCAGACTTATTTTACACAGGGAGCTGGGCTAAGGATATCAAATATCACAACCATGAAGTCTGCAGTGCACTGGCTTGCCAAACAACAATGCACTACATCTATTACCCTTGTAGACTGCTGGTTAACATCAATTTTCTCCTCACATCAGACAGTCAAATTATGCACTGCAACCCCTACTTTATCACTGAAAACCAACAGAATCATTTTGCTTTTCGACACTTGAAGTTATTATTTCATGCCCCCCCCCCCCCCACGCCATCCTCGCTATTAATTGTTACTGCCAAAACTGTCAAAACTACATGATAAGTCTTACACATAGTAACTCAATGTCTGCTTTAAGAAAACCAGAGGGAACTTCTTTCCACCATCCATGTCCCAAGTTGAGGTAATAGAAAGACCAGCACTCATGTACAAATCCTCACCAGACAAACTATACTTCTCTCAATATGACAGCAAACAGATTTCCAATCCAGCTGTGATCACAGACTTTAACTATAAATAATTGATCATCTGATTCATGACAAATAGTTTTGACAGAATTTAACCTCTACCATCATTGCCAAAGTATTTTTGCAATTAAATATAAAAATAATTTTTCTAATTGTGATCTCACACACCACTTGGCATGATTTCAAACACACAGAAAAATTGGGATTAGAAGTATCAAAATTTTATACTTAAGTCGTGTCAACTTTTATCACCAGCTGTGACATCCAAGAGAACTGCCCTTCCACATATGTAATCAACAGTGATTGTTATAACAATATGTGTAAGCCAACAGCACAAACAGGAACTTATACCATCTATTATATTATGCCCCTTAAACTTTCCTAATTATGTTTATCACTTGAAAAAGTAATCAGTTAGATTACATTATTAAAAGCTACAAACAATAAAATTGTGCTACATAGCTGACGTCGATAAATAGGGGAAGAAAATTTGAGAGAAAAGGTGGTTTTATTGGAGCAGTATATAATAAAAGCATAAAATTGTTAAAAACAACATCAGTGCAACCACCTTATACAAATAAGCCAAAAATAGCTTGGGGAGTAGATACCTATTGTACTATCAAACAATAACCCAAAATCAAACTTCATCTCTAAGAGTTAATCAAAGCACAAAAAAGAGACCAAAACAAAACCTACCTCATCTTCAGAACTGTCCATTTCAGTTTTCTTCTTACTCCGCCTTTTCACATCCCCGAGAGGCCCAGGCCCCCCTTGCAGAGCCCCATGACCAGAGGACGTAGTATCAATAGAACTGGACTTGGAATGAGATCTACCACCGGCGTCATCTTTATCCAGTGCTGTTACATCCAAACACTGTATACTCTCTTTGTCACTGTCATATGCTGTATTAGCAGAGCCAACTGTGAACTCTGCTTTACTGTCCTGTCCCTTATCAGCAGCTTTCTCAGGTGTTTGCTGTGCTGAAGATTTCACAGCCCCTGTCCCAACTGAGGCAGCCCTGCCCCTCTGCTGCACAATACTTTCATCAAAGACTGGTGCTTTAATGCTCTTTCCGATAGCACTCGTGCTATCCTGACTGGAGTCACTGTAGTGGTAACTATGGCGTATGGCTGTGGCGGGGGCAGGGGCAGGAACGGCAACAGCGGAAGGATCCGACTTGGACCGAGACTTTCTTTCTCTCACATGTGGTCGGGTTTCCTCCTCAGGTTCCGAAAAATGTTCGTGAAAGGTTGCATCTGAGGCGTTGCTTTTCCTTTCTTCTTCCAGAAGATCAGGTGGAGGTGGCTCCCTCTCTCCACCCCCTTCACCATCGTCATCATCCTCGAATTCAATAGGGACCTCATCAAATTTAAGATCTGCCAGATTTTCAAAACTTTTATACATTTTGTGATTCACTGCCACAGGCTCTGTGGTCACCACAGGTGCTGCCACCTGTGGGTCAGTCTGTGACACTAATGCTGCTCCATGATGAATATTAATCATGTTCTGCTGATCTTCAAAATTCTGATCTAGCGTGTGCTGTTCTAGGGCACTGACTTCACAAGTCTGTCCTGCCCTTACCTGTGTTGCCAGGTCATCAAAGCTGTGATACTGAGCATAGCTTGGAGGAGGGTGAGCGGGCACAGCATTGGGATTGATATTCCTTCTAGAAACCAGGTCTGGGCTGTCACTGATAGTCCTTGCATTGGTCTGAGAGGCCAGATCGGGGGTGCTCTGACTGGGGCGGGGGTAGGGTGGGGGAGGTTTGAAACAGTAACTGGAGTCTGTGGTCACCAAGTGTGGAGGGCAGTAGGGAGGGGGCTGTGTCCCCTGGGTGTTCAGTTCGGGTGTGCTGACTGCAGGGTACATGTTCATGCTATTTACCCTATCAACAACATTCCCCCTTTCCCCACCGCCCCCACCTCCACCACCACCATTATTTATAACCACGTGTCCATTCCTGTGCCCTTGCCCCCGGACCAAGTTCACATACTGCTCCTGCATGTTATATATGGATTCAGTTCGGATTTCAGGCTGACTGTAAGCCATGGTCTCGGGGTGAGAGTACACCAAGGAGTCTCCAATATTTCCACCTAGCATCCTTTGCTGCATCACCTGATCATAGCTAGGACTGGGCCTGTAGGCAGGGAGCAGCATCTGCCTGGGATCCTGCAGGCTAGTTTGTGATACTCCCAGGTGGGATTGGGAAGTCTGTGTGAGAGGGATTTGGTATGGGTTATTGCCCGCCATAACGTGGCCGTTGGCCTGTGTGGGAGGTTCCGTGTTCTGATCCAGGCTGTACTGGGAGTGGCTGAAGTATTCCATCTGAGACATGGGATCACTCTGCGAGGAATCTGAAATAGAGTGGAAATGAGGAAATTTGAACTTTCAGGAAACTTCAAATTTTTAAAAATGATATTACTATTAAATCATTTTTTTAAAAAAAAGATGATTAATTGTTGTCAATAAAGTTTTATTTCTTTATCCTTTTTTTTTCAAGCCCATTTATAAATCATTTATAACTTTTGTCTTAAGACATCTCTTTATGTTGGTATGTCTATTGAACATCTAATGTATTTAAAACTTCATTTAGGGCTATTTTTATCATTATTGCTTTCTTTAATTGAGATAATTCTACAAATTGCTCTGAAATTTTTCTATCTTAGAAGGAACAGGAATAGGAAAAATAAACTTATATATATATTCAAAAACAACTTTCAAATTGTCACTATTGTTTAAAGAATAAATAATAGTTTAAAGAGTATTTAAAACTTTGCGAATTGCAAATGTCAAATATTTGAAATACTAAAGATTCTAGTAGTATTTACCTTGGTGTTGATAAAGTTCTTCAGAAATTACAACTTTCTGGGTTGAATTTCCCTGAAATCAAAGAAAAACATTAAATATGGAATTTCTTCTTATATGAGATATCACTGCAAACTTCTGTAATACCATTCTTATCTGAAGATAACACCCTAAGACAGGATACTTGTGAGTCTCACGTAATATGTAAATATCACTCACCCAAACGCATTTTAAAATTTTCATTTTGATATCTTTTCAATCAATCCAAGCCAAACTAATTAATTAATTAAGTGCAGTCATTCAAAGGCTTTCACGGATGTATATGATCAATGGTTTAAACTGCAAAAACTTTTAAATAATGGTATGAACTATGAAAAATCTCTTGTTGTAGCACAGCTGTGGACAATCAAGTATAATTGGTCCAGATGGTGTGAGAATAAGATGCTCAACAACAAATTCTAACATATTTATATGACAGAACAGCTGATAAATTTGCATTTAAAATGTCCTTTGGTCACCCTCAGCTTCAGAAATCACTTGAAACAAACCTCCTCACTATAGCACGCCCTTATCGTTTCAAGTTACCTCTGACCAGTTTCCTTTTGACCCAGTTTATTGAGCCAATAGAATACATGTTTTCAAGATCTTTCACCATAGTTTTGTGAAAACACTGATTGGATGAAAGTCTAGCTACAAGTGGGTGCTTTTGGTCAGCATTTACAGGGATTACTTCGTCAAAGACAGTAAATAATATTAACAAAAGTGACTGGTTTTTGCACTGGCCTACGTGATTAAAAGCAGATCTCAAGCACCTGTATAAAATCTAGGTCATAATTGTATGTCATTAATGAGTTATTTTATACAGCATGTATATATATACAAACAAACAAAACAAATTACCATGTCTTGAATTTTCCCGTGCTGTTGAACACTCTGCTGTATGTCACTGAAAAAAGAAAATGAAACTGCTTCATACTAAATTAATACCTAATGCTCTGTCAACCAGAATAATTGATTACATTTTATTATCCCACCCTTTGTGATTACCTGAGTGAAAATATAATTACAGTTAATTAACCATACCTTATGTTAGGGACAACTAGAGCTATCACTGAATACCATCAATAATAATTGCAAATCTCGAGAAAAACTTGGTAAATACAATATCACATTTCTCATCAAAATCATATTAAATCATATTAAAGCCGACACTTTCTCAGAACAATAAAGAACTTCTCCTGATATTTTCAGCTTTTTTCAGGGAAAAATAACTGCTCATAAGTTCTCCTATTGTGTAACAGAACGAAAACAAGACATTTTGTTAAAAAGAACCTTGATTTTACTTATTATTTATTCATTTATGAAATACATGGATAATTACAAGTTTACACAAAATTTGAGCAATGCAATAATTGTCCCATTGAAAGGCATCTTCTATGCCTTAAACTGTGCTTGCAGCACATGAAATATCAGTTGCCTCCTACATATGACAAATTGGTACAAGCTCTTTTAAATAGTGCTTATTCATGGTTACTGTTCTTTAAATACTTACGGAATAGACTGGATTTCTCTTCTGAATAGGTCCTTTTCTTCAGTAGCTTCACTGATTCTAGAAATATGTCACACATAAATACAAGTCAACAAAAAAGGTCATTACACTATAGACTGTTCCAAGTTTTCAGCTAAAATAAAAAAAATCAGAGAAGAACAACATAATTCAACCCGGACACAGTATCCTCACTTCTTAAATCACAGAGATAGAGATATCATGCTGTGACACCTCATAACCTACTTGCACGGATATAAAATACCAATCTTAGAGCAAAATCAGGCCAAGAAAATATTTGCCAATTGATTACTATATAGATCATTAATCGGTACGTCAACTTACTTGACCTCTGGTCCTACCACCTTGTAGAACTGATGTAGCTGCACACACATGTTCCATGTGTATTTGGCAGTGTCCTGGTCCTCCTAAAATATTTTTAGGCAACAAATTTTTTAATAATTAAAGAATAAGATGCTGTTTTAAAATATATGACAGGAATACGTGGTACGTGTCTTTAGTTTCGGAGGAAGACAAAAAAAAAAAACCAAAAAAAAAAAAAAAAAACAAAACAAAAAAAAACAAAAAACAGGCAAATGAAAAGATAAATAAAAAACCAAAATGAATAATGTACTATTACGATGATTATTCAATAATAAAAATTTGAACTTCCTTGGCCAATGTAAGATTACTGTAGTAGCTAGATCCAACTCCAGATATGCTTTGTGACCTCACCCTAACTGGGGAATGTTGCTTTATCAAATTTAAGACAAATATCAATATTACCATAGAAACACAGACTTGTCTCCTATCTTAATTTGACAAAAATGAAAAAGCTTACCTCGCCATTAATTCTTTGACATTTGGCTCATATCTTGGTTTATACAGATATTGAAAGTGACATTAAAGAAAATGAGACTACAAAACAAATCCATTTATCTCCAAGGACCATTTGTTTTTACGCACCATTATATATTTGAGAGCCTTTGTGCCTTTCTCAGGATGTATAAGAAAGAAATTTTTGTTGTAAGACATCTGTTTAACATCTTCCCAACTGAAATAGAAATGAGAACACACTTTTTAAAATCTACCAACTTAGGCTTCGTTCACATGGAATGTCTATTTTCTAAAAATCTATTTTCTATTCGCGCTATCTTATGATCACGGTCTGTGCCCTGAATATCCCGCCGCGTAATTACTGACAGCGCGAGCCAGTTACTTATAGTAACTTATAGTAACTGGCTCGCGCTGCCAGTAATTACGCCGCGGGATATTAAGAGCACAGACCGTGATCATAAGACATACCGCGAATAGAAAATAGAATTTAGAAAATAGACATTGCATGTGAATGAAGCCTAAATCCAAGCTTGAACATAATAAATGTTAGACATTTGACCTTAAGGAAACTGAATGGTTTCTTATGACAACAGCCTATCTTTCATGATATTTCTGCCATTTAGCATGGTAACAGGTTTGCCTTCACCATCAGACAATAAAGATATTCCATAGTAAAGAATATTAAAAACATTGATTTTAAAACTTAAGAGTGATAAAAATATTGGAGTGGTTATAACTTTGAGTTTTAACTGTTATTTGAAGAATGTTTTCACCTCATAGTAAGACATAAAATAATTTTTCTATTAATCTAGCCAATACCTATAAGAAGTAATCAGCTCGTAATTTAAAGAATGTATTATTTTAACACATAAAATGATTTTTTGATCAATCTAATCAATACCTATAAGTTGTGATCAGCTCTCCACTCTTGTGTCTGACATAGATGCCATGGATAGATGTTCCTAAAAGAAGTTCTTTGCCACTGTCATCCTTGGAAAAGACAATATCACATTTCTCATAAAAAAACAAATTAAAGCTGGCACACTGAAGCTGTCAAATATCTACTTATAAATCCTCATGTTATGTAACAGTACAAATACAAGACATTTTGTTTAAAAAAATGTTGTAATTGGATGATAATACATTTATCACTTTTGTGAAAAAACATTGCAATTAAAAATGCCAATTCCAGGAAATCAGCTTTCAAACAAGCTAATTTTTTTCTCTTTTTTTCAGCACATGACCTTACAAACACAATAAAAATTACCTTGGCAGTGTAATATTCTTGTCCAAAGCCATCTAACTGTTGGGCAAATTTAATGTATTCCATTTCTGCCATGACTGGTGGGAAGCCCTGCTGACTGCGATGGGCGTTGGTGACCTCCTGTGTGAGACCCACCAAAACATGCTCATCCGTGGTCATATGCTGTAAAACAAGGCATCAGGCATGAAAGTTTGCTTATCAACATCTTCGTACATCACATGTGACAACTAGAACAATGTATCTGCAAACTGTTAGGGAGGTTCCAATGGCACACCTCTTCTTGCAGCCAATTTGTAAAATGTCTTAGATAACTATTTCAATTTTCATGTTTATGTGCTCAGAAGGCCTCAGTAGTAAAACATGTAAAAAAATCCCTAATTTTGCAGCAAATAATTTTGCTTACATCTTTTTTGTTGTCCATAGCATATTACACAAGTATAATTAGTACATGAAAAATTAATCTTTTTAAAGATTAAAATCTTTCAAAGATTTCATCATGACAAAACATTTTATTTGTAAGCATGTGGCAAGAATTGTAGTTCCATTATTCCAGATGTGCTTCTTTCGCTCGGGCCAGGCCTGCCAATAGTTATCAGGAGTTATCAGGTCTTCAAAATTTACTGGTTCCAGAATCATCAATATACTATTATTTCGCATAGAAACAATACTTTTTGCACAGAAACCATTTCAACTTCTTCTGATGGTAAAACAAATTGCTAGAAAGTTCATGCTTTGCTAACTTTGGTCATTTCTTGCTGATATAAGTCATGGAAATGTTATACTGATTCAAAATATTAGTGGCCAAAATTCAATTTTGGTTCTCCCAGCAGGAAAGTCACAGGCCACATCCAAGAAGGCTATTGGTTACTTTGTTCTCTTAAGTGAATCCTTTCACAGTACAAGAAAGGGTGGATGTCAAATGGAAAATGAAATACTAAATTAATGGGATGAGTAAGATATCCTCAAAGCTGTTGTAAACCCTGAGAAAGATCACGTTCTCTCAATCACAATGAACGCTGAATTTGTCATAGATCTGATTACTTTATGCCACAGCAGGAATCCTGACATTACAGGTTCAGAAAATCATTAAGCAATTCAGGAATCAGGGCTTTGTATCAATTACTTCAAGTCACCAGTGTAATCATTCATTTTTGGATCATTATCCTGAATGTTGTACTAGTGTGACATTAATCTACATCAAGTTGTAAGTTTATGCAACACAAACATGCCAAGAAAAAGAAAATTTTCAATAATTTATAAAAATAGTTGGAACATTATCTATCCAATAGTTAAGTACATAAAAAGAGTCCTGGCATACAAGGTAATATCACATGGTAGCACAGTTGACCAAAGAATTTCAAATACTTGCCTTTGGTAGTAAGACATATTCTTTTAAGTACTCCTGGCTATGTCTGTCACAGTCATGGTCACCAAACTCAGCTTAAAGAGAAAGATAAATTATGAAATCAATACATACAGCAATATATCTATAATAATTCATATCAACAGAATTATGGGATCTATTGACTTTTAAGTTTTCAGTAGCCTGCTTGATGACTACTGTTTATTGGGATGAGATTGCCATTTTGTGCAAAAATTAGAAAAAATATGGCATGGGGTCCAGAGGGGTTGACTAGACCAATGATATTTTTGGCTCCCAAAAAGTCAGAAATCTGCCAATAGTTGGAAAAAATCTCATCCCTGCATTTGCCACTGCCACAGTAAAATCCAAGGAACATGACTAGAAGCTGTGGTTTGTCTAAAGAGAAGTTTCAGTTGTTCAGCTATTTCATACCTTGTAGACTGTAACTTGCCAGAAGCACTGCTTGCTCAGGGGCACAGGCTATGCGACCTTCTATTACATCATTTTTAATCTGTAGGAAGAACTGGTACCTGGAAAAAAACAGCAATCCAGTGAATTCATGATTAACCTAATGTTTATTTTTTGTCGGAAAAAGATGACTCAAAAACAGGCAAAATCTAACACTGCTACTGCTTGTCAATTTTTATTTAGTTAAATCAGTAAGAGTTGTCTTAACAAATTCAAATGATGACATTGAGGATATATTTTTACAGATGCAACTGCATCAAAAGTGAGATTTAATCAATTAAAGCAACAACATCTGCTTTCAAAAAAAAAAAATAATAATAATAATAAAATAATAATAATAATAATAATAATAATAATAATAATAATAATAATAATAATAATAATAATAATAATAATAAATAATAATAATAAAATTAAAAATAATAAATTAATTTTAAAAAAAATGCAGCTCAAGGCCTCAAACACAGCACATTTAGCCACATGTGTATATCATTAAATACAACCAGCATTCTACGTCATTTCAACGACCTTCATATCTTTTCGCAGTGACATTAATGAACTTGGGAGTTTAACTGCAATGTACAGCTAGACTTCTGTACATGTATAGCCTGCAGCAGGTAGGAGTACAACCATCTATCAACATTCAAGCCCCTAGATGTCTGCCCTCTTGTCAGCAAGCACTCATTTCAACTGTGAAAAGTGGTAGATTCTGAGACAAGATAAAACTCGAGCACGAGTGCGTAATTATTCCAACCTCATGGTCTGGTGACTAAACCAGACACCTGAACTCTCAGTAAAAAAGAGTCAGAATGTGGAAAGAATGCGGATTATTTGCAGTTTGGCAAGAAAAATACCATTTACCCTTTTTATTCTATGTTTATTTATTAAGTCCTCAAATACCCTAAATTTCCAATCAGTTGAGCAGTGCAAAATATGTTTGCGCTGTAAGGAAAATAGATAAATGAACAGTCAAAGCTGTGGATCAAAAAGCTTTTTGTATTTACTGTCCGTCATCTTCAGGGTTCTGTAACCCCCCCTTCCTCAACACTGCAATTTTACTGTAACAAGATACATGCATCCATGAATTTCGTGTTTATTTTTTTAAATTTGTATATAAGTTTCAGTGCCCACTTGGCATAAAGGTACAACAGGAAAAGTTACCATAAATTCATGTTCTTCTCTCCTTTAGATTTTTACCATTTCCAATGTTTATCAACCAAAAGTTTTCTTTTGCTTTTGGTCGTGAATGATTATATCTTGGAAAAAAATCACATATACGTATACATACCTGGTCATTTCATCTTGAATCTTGTGCGAATTGTTCACATAGAAAACCACACCGAAGTACAGCAGTGGGTGCAGGGCAGTTTTGTCCAGCTGTTTCTTCAGCGGTCTTTCCAGCTCCACCCACCGAAACTGGTGCTGCTTGTTCAAATACTTCAACCCAAAATACTGCATCTGGATATATAAAAGAAAAGTTGAAAGAGCATGTTTAATTACTGTTAAAAATGGTGATTAGAAAATGAAGAGAATATCAGAGGATCTGGTTCATTACTGTTAATCATGTGTAATATGTTGTTTCACTAGAAAATTGCAATGATATTTAACTTCATTTCATATCAAATTTCTCAACACACTGATTTTTCATATAGGTTCATTGATTAACATAATGAACTTATGAATAACTAGCTTCAATTCAATCATATACAGTAGATTTCTACTAGTACACATTTTTGGTGTGTTGATAAATGCCTTGATGCATCTACTAGCAATAATTCATCTCCTGATATATGTCCGAGCATATTATCATTAGCAGGGAACACCTTTCCCTGCATTATCATCAGTGATTCACAGGACAAAAGACCACTTTGAAACACTGACCCCATTGTAGAGGAGATCAGCACACCCAGCAGCCAAAGTGTGCCCCTGCTCAGATACATGGAGATAGTAATGACTCGGTTTTTAAATACACCCAGACAGTTAACACAGTCTATCAGCTACATGTTATAGAAAGTTGTCTTTTCATGCCCTTATATAAAACCAACAGTGGTTCAGCAAAATGTCAGTTATTGCTGCAAACCATTCAGTAGTACAAGCTCCCCTATGGTTGATTTAATCAATTATAAGCCGGAGCTAGAGGCAGAGGAAAAATGTTCTAGTAGGCGTTAATATGCAAACAAGATATGTGGCTGATGATTTTTTGGGGCTCTGGTTGATGCTTTCCGCCTACTTTTGATACCAGTGTGGTTAGGCTGACAACACATTTTGTACAGCAAGTAGCCCGTGTTGTGATACTCCAAATAGTGTGGAGAAATATTTCAAATAATAAAGATATTATCAGATAAGATATTATATAACTAACTTTAGCATCACAGCAAATGCCACATGATATCCATGCACAAGCCTAATCCATTTTAATATAATCATGAAGTTTAATGGCCTAAATGAGGTACCACATTTTACACCTGAGTAAAGCCCATAAATAATACTGTTGTCCTTACAAATTTTATTGTCCAGTGATAAAGGTGATAGTTAGTTTGAAGTGGTGTTCTGAATCATTTTCCTTTACTTTACAAAGAAAACCATATTTCCAGAAAGGAGAGTGACATAATAATGAAGACAGTGCCACTATTTAAATGCACAGTGATAAATGTGAAAGTTTTGGCAAGTTTATTGGTTTCATTAGTTACAAAAAAATTGTCTGGGTTGTTTAGACATGTGCAATGCAGGTATTATTTTCTAACACAGCATTAGCTGGGGATGTTATAAATACTGGTCTCATATGACATGGTTTGCAAAATAATCCTGCACTGTAGCAAGACAGTGCTGAGAGGTTATAATTCACTTTCAAACACAAAAATGCTAATGTATATATGGCAAATTTTTTAATCTATTTCTAGACTCCCTGTGTCTTTTACTAGTCCAAAGATGACATATAACTGACAGGCAATACGTCTAAAGACAAATCTTCAAAATGTATGAAATTTTTTCTTTAAAGTTCCCAATAATCTCATCAAACTGACTACAATAATCTGTATTAATTAATAGCCTTATGTTCATGGACAATGCATTTGGCTTATAATGCATTCATTTGCTATCATTCTATTACCCACAATACATTTCAAATCTACCCAACAATATTGTTTTAATTAAATGCACTCAGAAGAATACAAGTGACTAATTAAATCATTTCCAAGAAACCCTACCCATGCCTCCTTCCCTAAACACATTAGTACTACCTGGGAAATCAAATTCTAACTTAGTCTAGATGGGTGTGCTCTTAGTTTACTGCTAGTGTCAGTGAAACCAAATACCAAAAGCATAGCAGCTGTACTTATCACATTTTTATATATCTATATAATCACCTGCTATCTGATAAAGTGAACTAAGGTTACAGCAAATATGTTATCAGTCTTATTTGAAAACCAAGTAAATTGTGTGAAAATAAACATGATTAATAGAAGAGTGTACAATATATGAATGTCATATTTTTGGTCAAGAAATGTGAAAATACATACATATTGTTTAATACTAAAAAGTTTGATAAAAGTAAATATTTAATTATTAATATCATTATTTTGTTTGAATGAATTTAAATCTTTCCCCGAAAGGTATTACAAGCATAAACATATGAAAATACAGTATATTAAGGTGTATTCCCAGAGATTTAGATCGACCTAACTCCCTGGGGGTTCACGCTAAACTGCAGTCAGCTGAGCGCGCACCAAGTTAATTAGACCTTTACAGCTTTTAGTAGGCGGGAAAGACCCTTAAGCCAGCTAAGCTGACAGTAATCTAGTGAGACTCCCCACAAGGATGATCGATCTAAAATCTATGGAAATGGGGTCTTAGTCTAAAGCTAAAAATAATTGAAATAAATCAGACTGGGTTAGCAAAAAGGAAATTGTTTTCAAAGTCATGGCTTCTTCACAGGCACAAACCGTAGTGAACTTAAAAAGCATTCATAAATCATTGCATTTTCTTATTTTTCCCCCCAGTCAGAAAATGATGACTCAAAAATATCACTGAAATCAAAAGTTGCCTTCAACAAAAATAAGCCTCTCTTTATAAAGGTATGCTTGGGTAGAGTTTGCCAATGCCATCATAAACACTGAGGGAATGAAAGAACCCTGCACAGCACAGATCAAAGTTTGTTCAGAAAACAGTTGTTATGATATCTCCCCAGTTGAAGTAATAAAGCTGGTGGGAAAACAACTCATACTCTGCTTTTGCTAGAAGGGATCTAGAAGACAGTGCTGCACCTATCCACAATTGAGTAGTACATAGTAATAGTAACTTGGCTTAAACCATTGTCTTTAGTAAGTTAGTAGTCATACACATTGTAATTTGTTAATAGCACACTCATTTAATATTACATTTACAGTGTCATTTTCATCCACCCAGGTGGATGCATATGTTACAAAGAATAAACTATATGTTTACTTACTCCTTCTGTAAGTTCGATCCTCTGTGCAATGCTCTGCAGACATTCTTGGGCCAGGCTCTCCGGAGTGAGAGTACATTCAATCAGCGTGTTGTCCAGCAATTGTACGCTGACCACAAATTGGTTTTTGGAAGAGACGTTGTATCTCTTGGTCTTCTTTAACGTCCATTTAAATGGCATCCTGATTTCTTGAGCTCAGAGTTTCAGTGAGAAGCCAGCCAAAAACCATTTCAGATGTTGAACAATGGAGTACCCATCATATAAAATGACATCTTATGATTAAAAACAGCAGTTATGGGAGGTGACCTCTGTAGAGGGAATTCTTACAAGCACTTAGGTCAATCCCACATTGTTAGGATTGGTATGTTCCTGATCCAGTGCTGTGTTGATTGCTCTAAAATATGTAGAAGCAAAGATATTTCACTGCAGTCTGAAAATAAAAGAACAAGGTTTATATATTTCGTCCCTTACCATAAAAATGATCAAATTATAATACCTACATCACTGAAATCACTCATCAGTCCACCTGATCCATTAGAAGAACTCCTTACAAAAAAGTAACTTGAAGTAAATGTAAAACAATTTTGCTACTCAATATCCCACAACAAACTCAGTTTAAAGAAAAGTTAATATATATAACATTTTGGAATAAAATGGCAATAACATGACATGTTCAGCAACAGTTAAGATTCAATTACCAACCAAAATATCTTTCCTAACTCAGTCCAAACAACACAACAATAACACATGGTAATTATATCATGCAGTTCCTCAATTATCAATCAGATGTGTTAATTAGGAAGTTGTTATTCTGGATTAGCATATAATAACATGAATACAGAGGAAAGGGTTAAGTGATTTCATCTGTAATAGCAATGTTAAACCAGAAGAGGTTTAGAATTTTGGAATATTCAGCAAAGAGCAGAGGGTCTTTTCTTTCTTTCTGCAAGGAACTCTTCAGCATAATTCTGAATGAGTTGAAGAGTATGACTTGTCAGCAGTTTAAATGTCTAGACATTCACTGTGCTTCACCTGTACCAAGGACTAGACCAGACAGAACACATTTACCAGGGTGTTCCTGTAACTCAGACACTTCAGGAATAGAAACCCAAGCAATTTTTCACTAGTCTGCACTGCACAAGTCTCTTACTAGTAAATTACCACTATTCAGCCTAAGTCAGAAAATTGATGAGCCCGGCTAACAGGGGATTTCCTCATGCATTTGATGTAAACATTTTTGTTCAAAGCATTGGCCTTCATATTGTGATATCTCTATTTATCAAATTGATAATTTATCACTTGAGTATTTATGAATTTAACCTAATATAGCAAAACCACTGAAATATAACCATACTGATGATAAGAAATATAAACCGTGTACCTCTGATACTTAAAATCAGAAGGTATCAAAACAGAAATTATATAGTGTAGAACAGTTTCATTAGCTATGTTATTGTAATAGACTTGTGAAGATTCTTTTGTCTATAGCTATTTATATTAGTTTGATCTTACCATCCAATATTTCATCTGCTTGCAGTCAGATTTCATCAGGGAATGAGGTTGTGATAGGTATGACAACCTGTCACCCCCTCTGGTGTGCTATTTGGTCAGATTCCCCCCCCTTTCCTGCCCCTCCCTTAAGAATCTTCACAAGTCTAGAAATTATATAATAATAATGTTTATGCTTTTGATCTGTATGCATTTTAGCTAAACTACCAGTAAAGACTATCGTATACAAGAATTTTCAGGAATCATCACAATATTTCAACTCAAAACAATGATTTCTAATAATCTGATAATTTTTCGTGCATATCTAGCGATGAAAGCAGTGATCAGGCACATGAACTTGGCAGTTCATGCAATATTTCAGTACTTAATAATTTAAACATACTAATTACAGCATGTTTCAGAAATATTGTATACTTGCCAGTATATATATATCATAAACAATGTTTTTGAATTTTGATAAAATACACAAAATATTCCTATATTGTTTATTAACACTCCTCTGGTTTCTCATTTAATCCTGGGACTCTGGGTTTTACACCACAGACTATAACCTGCTTCTGTCCTGAAAACTTGACAACACCTTGACCCAACTGGATTTGCAATCATAAACTAGGCTTTCTGAAATGCCACAGGACCATTCTTTTTACATCGAATTGGTATGTTTTAATGATCTCTACAACGCAACCCTTCTTCAAGCTGTCACCATGTTCCCAAGGCAAGAGCAATTAATTTTGCCTGCTGTAATGAACTATTGGCTCGCATCTGAACATATGAAAACATTGCTGTAACCTGGATCTTCTAGTAAAGACAGACTTGGTCTGAGCAACATGTTACTGATGATTTCACTCCATTTTGACTTTCCAGGTTGTATGGGCTGGATTTGTTCATGTCAACTGATTAAGGTGACAAAGTTACAGATGAATGTGCCCGTGGTCAGTTTGGGCTTGGCTTAAACTTCAGTTTGGAGTCGTTTATAAATCGATGCTTCAGTATTTAATAATAATAATAAAATGCTTATTGCGTTAAAACTTAGAAGCAGCCATCAACAAATTTATTAGAAGGGTTAACCTTTCCGAAATTACCTTTAAATATTGAAACGATTACCAGGCAGACTGTCAAGCAGAATTAGAATTTGGAAAACCACAGCTGCAGTGCTTGGCTTGCTGAACAATGCTCGACGGTTTAGTGGTACTTGGTCTTGCGAGCTGTAAAATCCTTCACCTCTAAGTTCAACCACTTGTCGGGATTCCAATCTAGATATGACAAATATGGTCTATTTACTTACTCAGTCATCTATTGAATAACTCACGTGCTTCCGGTTATTATAAAGTACAATAAATGTTGGATTTACTCACCGAAAATTAGGAGGGGATTCCAGTATTCGATGACGTATGTAGGTCAAGAATGCTGACCTATCGAAATGGTCGTTGATAGCAAGTACTCTTCAATGACTGTCGTAAAGTTGGCAATTAGTCATCGTGTTTAAAAGATTTATTTACATCGAGTTGTTATCTCAATAGCAAAAAGCTTTTTAATATTTATGTGATATTTCTTAAGAGAACAATAAAATATATCATCGTTATTTAAAGTCTCATACATTTTCTACCTTATTCTTTATTTTCTACTGCATCAAAACATCCAATGAAATGTTACCGCCATGTCCACATACGCATGCGTGCTCTTTAAACCGTCTCGGTGCGAAATTCGACTTGGTGTAACTACTGTTTGATTGATGTTTACCATGTAAGTACAGGTTAAAAGGTTAGATTATCTTCATGTATATGTACACATGTGCTAATTAACGGAAATTTTATTTTGACGGAACTATCAAAACATCTCACCAAATGTAAAATCATTTTATTGAAATATAATAGCTAAAATAGATCAATCATTGATTCAATGTGTCCCAAATAGGCATACCCCAAAACTCTTTAGTAGTACAAGGCCTGCTAAGATAATTCAAGAGCATTAGAGTTAAAGATGCATTTTGGGGATTTTTGGCACTTGTGTAGAGTTTTTTCCCTTTTGTATGAATCTTATTTTCAATATCTTTGCTAAATTGAGTGTAGTGGTGACTTTGGCCATGTTGTTCCTATTCAAATAAATAAGTTTTGGAATTCATATAATTGAGAGTCAAATAAAAAATATAAAGAATTACAAAGTAAAATTTCAAACTATTTATTCAATATCAGTCTCTGAGAGGCTTTGGTAAAAGTCACCACATAGCTTAATTTTAAAAAACATTAAAGATTTTAGAGTTACAGGGTGAGGGGAGTATCACTCTGCACCTTAATAAGGTCTGTCTCTGTACTGTATAACATAGCAAGTAGCAGGAAAATTCATGCAAAAAGACACCTTCTTGTTCTTTTCTTACATATGCCAGCTGTGTTTACACATGAACTATATAGGGGTTTTGATAACTGCAAAATTGTATTCATCTACCATCCCCACAGATGCAGATAAAAAATATTTGAGGCCTCCCAGGTCAAGTTGGTCAATGGACTTAATTTGACTATCATTTTTGCATATATAAAAAAAGAAACATTAATAGGATTTCTTACAGTCTATGGATTTTCATGCTTTGAATTACAGTGCAAATGTAGAGATTGGTTCTAATTTGGTCAGAAGTACATGATTCTAATGTTCTTGCAGAAAATATGGAATAGGTCAGATTTTTTTTTCGATATTTTACCTATTTCAACATTTGCATCTGTTTGTGTCTCGCATGACATAGACATTTTTAGTTTATGAAAAAAAGCCCTACTCTGATTGTATAACATATTTCTAGGTGGACACTTCAAGCATGAGCTGGGCAGCCAATGAATGGAAGGCAGATTTGCCTCACAAGGCACTTCTTAAGGTTGAGGAGTTAGAAAATCAATTAGAAAGACTTAAGAAGGAACGTCAACAAAGGCAGTTTCAGCTTGACAGCTTGGAACAGGTAATCCATTTCTATACTAAAAGAACTAAAATCTTGAGTTTATTGCTGCACTGGGGGTTATTTTCCAAAGTTCAATTCATACTTATCTAATACATCATTTTTCGTTTGTTGTACACATAAAAAATATAATTGTATTGGAATTATAATAATATTCTTTTGGTTATTTTGCATAGGCACTTGAAAAACAAAAGCGCAAAGCAGAAGAGGAGAAGTCTTTGTGTGGTTCTCTGAAACGTGAAAACCAGAGCTTGGCAGAGACTTGTGAAGAACTTGAGAAAAAGCGTGAGAAGTTGCAACATGAATTGCAGAACAAGGACACTCACATTTCCTGTTTGGAAGGACAGTTAGCCCATGCAAAGCAGTCTTTAGAACAAGAAACAAACAAGGTATTATGTTAGAATTTATCCATAAAAGTCCACTGGACTTCAAAGACCGAAATATTGATTTGCAATTTTATTGTGTTTTTGTGTACTTTTTCAAAAAAAAAAAAAGAAAAGAAAAAAACTTACAATGGTGTCTTGCATGAGTAAGGGAAATCTGTATATACTTATTTGATCAAATTGCAGTTCATTTTGCCAAGTTAATGTATATTTGCTAAAAATAAAAATTGACAAGTAACAAATGTTTCCATATATTTCATGTGCTGTATGGCTTCATAAAATTTTCAGAATATTATTTAGGATTTCAAACATGGCTAGATAAATGAAATTTGAAATTTTTTTACTGACAAAATGTAACTTTTGAGTTTTTTTTTCATGATAAATTGAGATATCATCGTGTGAATTTCTATAGGCCGGTCAGCTGAAAACAGAACTGGAAAAGGCACAGGCTGAGCACTTGGAAGCCGTGAAAAAACTTGAGAAATTAACAGGGGATTACAACAGGCTGCAGGAGAATGGCACTCACCAATCCAGGCAAATTGAAGGACAGAGCGAGAAGATCAAGTGTCTGCAGCAAGAAGTGAAACAATTGCAAGGAAATTTAGATAGAAAGGGACATGAACAGAAGTCAAGACAGCCTTCTGGAACACCAGGTACACTTTTTAAGAAACTCGTTTGAATAAGTTTGCTTAGAACTAAACTCTAAATGTGCACACACTGAGATATAGTCTACGTTAACATTTGTGCTGTTGTGAGTGCATTTATGTGCTTAGCGATAGACTTGTAGTTAATTGAAATGAAGTATGTGTTCAATCTGGGGTTATCTTAAAATCAATTCGAGTTTAAAAATGGTTGATATTTAAAATTACAACTGCTACTATTAGGTACCCAGGATGAAACCAGTGAGCTGAAAAGAAAACTAAGTGAAGTTGAGAGCCTAAGAGCCAAGGAGTTGGAGGAACACAACAAAATGGTTGAAGAATTCAAAGTTCTACAAGATAAGGTAAACAGAGTTCCCTTTATTGATATAGACAAAGCAAAGAATTATATGTGCATTATTATCCAATTTTATGTCATCATTTTTAATGATTTTTGATACTCTAGAACATTTTTGTTCTAGATTCAAACTTAAAAAATATTCCTTTTTAAGGCATTGATATATCTCTGTATCTTAAATGTGATTGATTAAGTATATTTAGCTTAATTCATTGAAAAGATTAACATTCTGTTTCAAGGTTCAGAAAGATTCAGATGAGCTGCAGAAGGTAAGAAGTGAAAAGGATCTCCTCAGTGTGCGTGTAGAGAATCAGCAGGAGGCAAGCAAGAATGCTACTAGGCAGATGGAGTCCATGTTGAAAGAGCAGACTGGTATTAGTGATGTGCAGCTGGATAAGATGGAGAAAATGATCGATCGCTTGAAGAAAGAAAATGAAGGTTTGTATTTCGATTCGCAAATTTTTAAAAGCATTTCTTGCAATTGGTGTATCAATAATTATTTGTTTTACTCAACTTGATAACTTAATTTGGAGTGATAAGAAAGTGACTTCTTCAGGCCTATTCCCTTAAAAATGCATCTGCCCATGTGTATGGACATGGCTGTAATGGGAAATTGCTCTTGGCTGCTCTTTCAGCTGTGAAGACTGGAAATGCCAATCTGGAGATGCAGATCCAGGCGAAGGCCAAGGAGATTTCCAGTCTTAATGGCAAGATGAGAGAGTTGCAGTCCGAACAGGATGCCAGCCTGACGGCACTGATGGAGAAGGAGAAAATGGTGGCGCAGTGCAAAGATGAAATGGCCAAACTGAAGATTCAGCTTGATGAGGCTAATCACAAGGTGAGACGCTGGTGATTCATTGTTTTGAGATGAAATCACTTATGTGATTATTTAATGCTAAAACCATGATATTGGCCATTATTTTTTGGAACTTGTAAAAAAAATTTCAGTGTTTTGTTTTTCTGTTAAGGTGACCCTGCTTGATCAAAAAAATAAGCAACTCACAGAATCAGTGAAGAAGATGGATGGCACTAAAGAGGAGAAGGTATTGTTTCATTTAGGTCATAGGCTAGTTGCATGGAAACAGTGAACCAGTTGAAACTGGCAATTGATTTAATTTGTTGACTTTTTTGTTCAAGTTATAAGAAAAAAAATCATATTATTCTTTAATATATAAATAGCAGATTTTGTATTAAGGTGCGATAGGTACCTCAAGCAACCTCTCAGGATATTAATATGTATTATGTGTCATACTCCAGGAGTCCCTGAACAAGCAACTCTCAGAATCTCAGTCAAAAGTTGGCAGCTTGGAAAAAGAACTGAAACAGCTGAAAGAGAAGCTTCAAAATTCTGATACTGTAAACAGTGACTTGAGGGCCAAAATGATGGAGAAGGACTTAGACGCTGAAGCCTTGAAGGTGACCACTTAGACTTAAGATACTGAAATACAATGTACCTGCTTATTAGTTTGCTTGATTGGAGGGATTCATATAATAGTGGTTGGCTTTTTTTTTTGCCTTATTATAAACTTATTTACTCCTATAGCTAAAAATGTTTTTCTGATGAATTGATAATGTAATTGGTTAAACATTAATTTTAGTAAATTTATGCATGGCCTGCTTTACTTTTAGGCTAAGCTGGAAAAAATGACAGGTGAACTTAGCACCAACTCAGAAAACCTTAAGTCTGCTCATGAAAAGGAGATGGGCACTCTCAAAGCTCAGATCCAGGAATTGGAGAGAAAAGTACAGGAGGCTGGAAGGGAAAAGGAATCTGTAAGAGAGCAAATGGAAAAAAGAATAGATGAATTAAAAGTAAGTATGTGCCACATACATGTTGACTCTTAAATTGTTGTTTTTCTGGCATGCCCAAATTTTGTTGTTTTGTTAGTATTAATGTTGACTACTGAATGAATGCATAGTGTCTGACCATCAGCAAGATTAACATCTTTTTCTTTTGAAAAGCTATAATTTTATTAACATTTTTTGTTAAACCTGAGAATTTACAGTGTTGGAATCATCTAAATGTTTTTGAAAATTCACAATGATACAAGTAGCACTTTTTTGTCTGAATATGATAAACTGAAAATAAAAAAATGTTTTTTTTTTTTTAATGTTCAGGACCAGATCCAGTCTATGGAGAAAAAGGTGTCTGAAACTGAAGAACAGATCAAACTTCAAGATCAAAAGTCAAAGGACTTGATAGAAGAAATGAAGCAGAAAGTGTCCAGCATGGAAGGGGAAAGAGATGAAGCCAAGTGCAAAATGAATGAAACCATATTTGACCTTGAAAATAAGAATGAAGAGATCCAGGCCATGATGTCTCAGCTTGAGGGGTTGAAATCCCAGAAGGCACATGCACAGCAGCAGTATGACAATCAAGCTAAAGAATTGACAGAGTTAAAACAGCAGTACACAGTAGTTTTGGAGGAAAAGGACGAGTCGGGAGTGGTCATTGGAAAGCTTGAAGATCAAGTGAAGAATCTTTCAGAACAATTGAAGAGTCTGCAACACAAAGCTGATAATGAGGGTCATGACTTAAAACTAAAATTAGCAGAGTTGGAGAACCATAAAACACAACTGCAAAGAGAGTTTGAGGAAATAACATCTGAAGTGGAAAAGAAGTCCCAGCAACTGAAGATTACAGTGGAACAACTCACTGAGATGAGTTCAAAATATGATCAAGCTGAAATGATGTGCAGCACTCTTAAGGCCACAAGTGCAGAGTTGAAGAGAGAAATGGATCACGTGGGCAGTGAAAGGGACTGCATGGCTGAGGAGAAGGCTGCGCTTGAAGAGAAAGAGCAGCACCATAAAAAGTCTCACGAGGAAATGCTCGTGGAACGCCAGAACCTGTGCAGTCAGGTGCAGGAGCTGAAGGCTCATCTTTCAGATGCCAAATCTGAGCTCCACGAGACCAAGAAGTCTCTGCAGCAGGCAGAGGCCACGGTGACAAGAGTCGAAGAAGAGAGAGATAATGTTGCTGCTGTTAAGACCAAGATGGACAGTGACCTGACCAATCTACAGAACAAGATCCAGACCTTGGAGACAGAGTTGGCCAATAGCTCTGGCAAGGTTGATGATTTTGAGAGGCAGTTGGCCGAAAAGACTACTGCATTAGAAAATGCCCAGTTTGAGTATGATAGTTTTGCTAAAGATTCATCTAACAAGTTGGAACAGCTACAGAAAATGTGCAACGACCTGCAAGAGGAGAACAAGAAAGTCAAGCAGCAGGTTGCAGACTTTGAAGAGTCTCATGGAATGCTGAAATGTGAGAAGGAGGACCTACTGTCTCAGCTGACAACAGCAAAGGAAAGTCTTGTTTCCTTGGAGGAAAAATCTCAGAGCATGTCCTCAGACCTCAGGTTGAAAGTTCAGCAGTTGGAAGAACAGAAGTTGGTTCTGCAGAAGGAAGTGGATGAAGCTACATCTGTACTTGAAAAGAAGTGTGAAGAAGTAGAAACACTCACTCAGCAGTTGAAGGCCTTGACTGAGAGTCGCGCCCAGCTACAGCAACAATGTAGCAGCTTAGCAGAAGAAAAAAAATCTATCAAGGAACAGATGGACCTTAACTCACAGCAGGTAGAACAGCTTGGAATTGAAAAAGCCACCCTGACTGAACAGGTAGCGCAGTTGAATATTACATTGTCATCACAGGAAACAAAGGCCTCAACAGCCATTACTGAATTGAATGCCAAGATCCATGCAGTTGAAGCAGAAAAGGCTAGCATAGTTAAAGAGCTTGAAGAGGCACGTTTCTCTTTGGAGAACAAAGATGAGGATTTGGAATCTCTCAACGAGCAAGTTAAAATTCTGGGAGAGAATGAGGCTTCATTGAAGCAGAATGTAGAGGCCCTGAAAGCTGAGAGTGGTTTATTGAAACAGGTCATTGAATCATTGCAGCAGGAGAAAGAGAAGTTGGGAAAAAACCTGGCTGAAAAAGCAACTGAATGTGAGGAAATCCGCCAAGCCAGCTGTGATCTTCGGGTAGAGAAAGACAATTTACTTAGTAGGATTGGAGATTCAGAGAGTCAGCTAACCCAAAACAGGCACATGCATGATGAAATTTTGAAAGAATTACATGCTTCCAAGGTCAAAGTAGAAGAGCTTACAGGAACTGTTGATGACCTCACAACAGCCAAGTGTAAACTAGAGAGTTTTATCAGTGACCTGACAAATAAAATGGATGCACAGCAGTCGATGGTTTCAGAAAAGAATGCCGAATTGGGTGCTTTGCAGACAAAATTGGATCAACAAGAGCAGAGACTTATTGAACTGAATGAAGAACTTGGGAAGAAGGCCAAGGAGCATGATCTGCAGGCTCACACAGTGGAACAGCAGAAAGAAAATGCTCAGGCACAGATCAGAGCTCTGGAAAATGAAAGGACTGATCTAACTGCTCAGATCCAACAGCTAGGTCTTGACAAACAAAGCCTTGATGAAGAAATGCAATCAGTTAAAAGTCAGCTCAGCTCCTTGGAGGAGAAATCAAGGAATGCAATTTCGGAGTTGCAATCACAACTTAAGTTTGTTGAAAAGGAGAAACAAAACTTACAGAATCAATTGGAAGAATCTGCTTTTGCACTGGAGAACAAGGATGAAGACTTGGAGAGTCTTACTGACCAAGTCAGAGACTTAACAGAAAAGAACCAGCAACTCCAGCAGACACAGGAACAATCTGCAAAGGAAAGTGATTCACTGAAACAGACCAGCAAGGATTTTGAGCAAGAGCTGTTGCGTTTGAAAGGGGAAAAGGAACTTGCAGATGAAGATATAAAGTCCTTACAAGAAACCAGCAGGGTGAATGAAGAAAAGTTTGAATCTCTCATGAAAGAAATGCAAGAGAGGCTGTCTCATGCTGAGAAAGAAAAACAGCAGTTGAAGACAAAACAAGATGAGACTGCCTTCATGTTAGAAAACAGTAAAGAAGATTTTGAGTCTGTGAGCCAACAGTTGCAAGAGGCAATGACTAAACAGGATCACTTGTCACAGAGTTTGGAGGCAAACAAGGCTGCCATGGAGAGGGCAAACCTTCAGCTGGAGGACTTAAAACAAGAAAAGGAGAAGCTTGCCACAGAGTACAGCAATTTGCAGAACAGTTTTGATCTCTTGAAAACCCAGCTGCAGGAAAGCGAGAATAAGGCAGCTGCTCTTGATGCCGAGTTGAAAGCTAAGATTGCCAGCTTTACTGAAGAGAAAGCTGCTCTCCAATCTAAAATAGACGAGGCTGCCTTCCAGCTGGAAAATAACTCTGAAGACCTGGAATCATACAGTGAACAACTCAAAGATCTGTCAGAGAAAAATGACAAGTTGCAAAATAATTGTGAAAGCCTCAGGACCCATGTGTCCGAACTTCAGGATAAAATTAATGGGCTAAATGAGGAAAAAGAAGCAGCACTGAAACAGGCAGAAGCAAGCACTGAATCGGAAGCAGTGATGAACCAGCAACTGGCACAGTTGAAGCATGATCAACAAGTTCTAGAGCAGCACAACCTAGATATGAAGGACCAGCTTGACAAGTCTCAGTCACAGAACGAGAATTTGAAGTCACAGTTGAATGACAGCCAGGCAGATTTGACGGCTGTGACAGAAGAAAAAGAATCACTGCAAGAGCAATTGACACGGCAGAGAAATGATCTCGATGCTGCACACATGAAGGCTGAAAAGCTTCAGTCTTTATTGAATGAACGTGATAATCAGCTCTGTGACATGGAAGTTGTAGTGAAGGAGCTTGAATCAAAAGTAACTGACCTCACAACACAAATAGATAACTCAGCAGAGGTAATGTCAAGCAGCCAGAAATCCTACCTTGAAACTCTACAAGAAAAGGACAAATTGATTCAAACAGCCCAGGAAAGAATTGAAAATGTGCTGCAGGAGTTGGACAGTAAAGAACTAGAAATGGAAGAAGGGAAGAGAACCCATGAGGAAAGGGAGAAAGAATTACAGGACTCGTTGAATCAGGCACAGGCCAGACATAAGGAGCTTGAGGGTCAGAAGGCAGTAATCCAATTAGACTTGGAGCAGACTCGTCAGACTCTGGTAGAATTACAGCAGCAAACAAACACCTTGGAAGATGCTGTGGCTGCTTGGGAATCTAGGTATAATACCCTACTCGAAGAGCAGTCGAATGCTGCCAGTGCCCAAGAAGAAGTTGTCCTCAAGTTCAGCAAGGAAATTGCAGGACTGAATGATGCTGTAACAGATCTCAATCAGACAGTGCAGTCGCTGAGTGAAAAGAACTCAGACCAAGAAAAGCAGTTGGTTGATGCCCAGGAAGCCTTGGTCAAAATGGAAAAAGATATGACAGATAAGACGGCCCTCCATGCTGCTGAAATTAAGAATATGGAGCAAAATACTAATGAGCTGGAAGAAAAGTTGTCACAGGAGAGGGAACAAGCAGACCAGTTGCAGACTCAGTTGCAGCAATTACAGGCAGAGATGGAAAGTGAGATGTCACAGTTGAGAGTCAAAGTAGAACTAGAAACCCAGAAGACCAAAGACATGGAGACCAGACACCAGGAAAGTGCAGAAGTTGCTGAAAACAAACTTTCAGGTGTCAGGAGTGAACACGAGTTTGCACAGGGTGTTTTACAAGATGAAATTCAGCAGTTGCAAAAACAGAATGAAGAAATGCAGGCAAAGGTGCATCATTTACAAGACCTGAGCAACCAGACTGACATAAAGAGGTCGGAGGAACTGGCTAGAATGCAAAATGAGCTCTCCCAACTACAGAACATAAATGATGAGAAAACTTCATCCTTGTTGACACTTGAGCAGAAATTATCCGAGGCAAGCGAGAAGGTTAGACTAACTGAAGAAAGTATGGCATGGCTTCAGCAAAGTTATGAGGAATTGCAGCAAGATGTAAATTTGAAGGACAATGATTACAAACAAAAGGTTCAGAAACTGCAAGCAAGCATTGAAGAAAAGGAAGCAGAAATTGAAAGTGCAGCTAAAAACTTACAAAGTCAGAGGAAAAATTTTATGCAAGATCAAGAAAAGTTTGAAATTGAGAAATCTAGACTGGAAGGTTTAGTCCAGGAACATGTGACTGAAATTGAAAGTCTTAAGCAAAGGCTAAGTCAAAGTGAACAGCACACTGATAACGAAGTCTCCCTTGCCATGTCCCAACTACAGGCTGAGAAACAGTCTGTGCTAGACCTGACCACTAAACTAGAAACGGAGGCACAGCTTCACAAAAATGCCATAGCTGAGTTGAAGTCTGAGCACGAATTTTACCACACAACATCACAGGAACAGATAGCAAAACTTCAGAATGAAAGGGATGAGCTGAATGCTAAGCTTTCTGGACTCCTCGACATGGCTAACCAGAAATCAGCTGACCAGTCGACCACTGAGGCCAAAATGCAGGCAGAGGTGGATGGTTTGACCAATCGGTGTCAAGCCAAAGAAGATCAAATATCACAACTGGAGAAGCAGTTGGAGGAAAGACAGTTGAAGTTGGACAGTGCCACAAAACGGATAGAACAACTACAGGAGCAGCAGAGGGATTCACTTGACAGCATGCACAAGGCAGAAAAGGAGTTTACAGATGTCAGGCAAGACTTAGAAGTCCAGATTAAAAAGCTGAAGTCAGAAGTTTCAAGTCTGAATGAAAAACTGAAAGAAACAACTACCAGCAGGGACAGTTTTGAAAAGGAAAGTAAATTGCTTCAGGATCAAGTAGAGGAATTGCACATCCAGTTGAAAAATAGCCACCAAGATGTTGGCAGTAATCAGCAAGAGATTTCACAAATGGAGTCCAACTTGGATCAGTTAAAGGCAGAGAAAGAACAGTTAATGGATAAGATAAGTTGCCTGAATGGTGAGATATCCAACTTGAAGAGTGATAATGCTGAACTTGCAGTAAAACTGAACACTAGCAGTGCTGAGGTCGAAACAGCTTTGAGTACGAATACATCTTTACAGGAGAGAGTGGCCCAGCTTGAGGTCGATCTTCACGGTGCTTCTGACAAAGCCCAGACTTTGCAGCGAGAAAAGAGAGACCTAGAGGAGCAGCTGCATTCTGTCCATTGTCAAGGCCAGGTGGATACAGATGCTGAAAAGGCCAAGAATGATGAATTAGTTCAACAGCTAGCCAAACTGGAAACTACAAAGGAGGCTTTAGAAAATAAGACAGCAGATTTGATGTCAGAGATATCCGTGCTGAAGGGGACTGTAGCAGAACTGGAGCATCAACTTAACTGTGGACATGATGATTTGGCAGCCACACAGTCTCATTCTGAAGAGCTGTTTGAAAAGTATGAGGCTCTTCAGATGCAGTTAAGTGAGGCACAAGAAAGAATTAATAGTGCAGAGTTAGAAAAGACTGATTTAGAAAGCCAGTTAAGCAGCCTCAGGTATGAATCTGAACAATCTTTGGATGTGATGGCTAGAGAGAAGGCTGTATTGCAAGAAGAGATCCAGAAAATTGCTCAAGAGAAAGAGGAAATCTCGGAACAAGTCGCCAAAATGACAGTGGAAATTGATAAATTGAGGGCAGCAGAAGCAAGCACACAGCAAGAGCTGAAAACTCAGCTAGCAGAAGAAGCTTCTGCACAGAGAGACACCATTTTAGAACTTGAAGCAGATAAAGCAGAGTTGAAAGAGAAACTGAAAACTTTGGAGTCTGAAATTTCAACACTTCAGAAACAGCTAACTAGTTCGAGCACAGAGATTGCAGAGCTGAAAGAAGACAAAGAATTGTTATTTGACCAGTATCAGAATGAAGCCAGTGCCTTAGAAGAAGCACAAGCAGAAAAACAAGAACTAATTGAGAAACTCAGGATTGCCGAAATGCAAAAAAATTCTGTTGAAAAGCAAATTGAAGAAATGAGTGCAAAATTTGGCACTAGTTTTGAGGAGAAGGAAGCACTTGTGGTCCAAATCAATTCTTTGAAAACAGAAAAGAATACACTGGAGAGTGAACTAGAAAATTTCAAAACTGAACTGAAGGGTTTCCGTTCTGGATGTGAAGAATTGCAGAAGCAAATCAAAGCATTGGAATCAGGGAAGAAAAATCAGGCTGCTAAAGTATCAGAGCTACAGAAATTGTTAGAATCCAAACAACAGGAGCTTCAAGAGGCTTTAGACCAAGCCAAGAACCAGCACACCATCACTGACGATCTCAACCAGCAATTAGAAAAGTTATCATCTGAAAGAGACAACCTGGAGAGGGACATTCAGAAGTTACAAGAAAATACAGACTCAAATGAAATGCTTATATCTGCCCTGCAGTCAGAAAAGCTGAACCTTGAGCAGGAAATGAAAGAAAAAGATTCAGAAATTAAAACCTTGACTGTCCAGATTTCCACCTTACAGGAGGAAGTCCAAAGACTTGAGAAGCAAACAGAAAACCTTAGTGAGCAAACTGATGGCAGAACTGCAAAACTCGAGACCGAAAAGCTGGAACTGAATGAACAGCTGGATGCTGTGATCATGAAGCAAACTGAAATGGAGGAAAAATACGAGGTACTCCAAGAGGAATCCAAATCCATTGAGCTGCAGCGCCAGGAATTGAAGCAGAAAGTGGAAGAATTGGAGGAAGAGGTCAACACCCTACAGATAGAGAAGTCTACCCTTGAAGATCAGATCCGGGATTATAAGACCGAGCATTCCAAACTCGCCCAGAGCAGGGAAATGCTGCAGGCTCAGGTTAAAACTCAGGAAAATGAAAAGCATGTACTTCTGAACCAGTTCCTTGGTTTAGAAAATGCCAAAGCAAGTCTAGAAGAGAAGAATGCAAGGCTTGAGGAAGAGTTGGATCAAGTTAATCTGGACATGAAACAGGTGAAAGAGAAGATGGAGAGTGTCCAAAGGGATCACGATGCATTTCAGAGTCAGAACGTTGGGCTTGAAGAGACACGGTCAGATCTGGAGTCCCAGTTGGGCGCCCTGCTCACTGAGAAGCAGAACCTGGAAGAAGAAGTGCTTCAGCTGAAGGAGGACCTCCAGAAGTCTGAGTGCAAGCACAAGGAGAAACTGGATGGCCTGAACAGTGAGCTGAGTGAAAAGGTATCCCAACTGGATGAAGCCCACAATCAGGTTGAAAATTATAAGGTAGATATATTATGCAGCAGCTCGTTTTTAACACAGCTTTGGTAATTTGTGTTATTTTTTTCAGCATTGAGATTTGGTAAAAATTAGTAATATGTAATTAATATATAATAAAAAAGGCAAATATTCACCACTAGAGATTAAGACTGTCCACGTTCACTAAGAAAAAAAATTTTTAAAGCCTCTTGATAATCTGAATTATTATTGATTCATTTTGGTTAAAAATATGATGCGGCTGAAATGCATTTTATGCATGAACTGGACCAGTGGTGGCCAACCATATACACAAATTTACATAAAAAAGAGAACTTAAAATGTAAACAGTGGCAGTATTAATGTATCTTACTAAAAGACACTGTAAGAAGTACAAGTTACCACTTGCTTATTTGTAATCACTAATTTATCAGCTTTATAACCTTTTTCATTTGTATTTGCCTTAGCTGCTGTTGGAGACCCTTGAGGCAGAGAAGAATGATGTTGTAAAAGACAAAAAGCTTGCTGAGTGTGAACTGGAGAGGATACAATGCCAGTACAACAGAGAAACCAAAGAACTTGAAGAAAAAATTCAGTCACTAGAGAGTGAACAGGAAAAGCAGCTAGATGCACTCAAAACAAAGGTAAAAAGAATGGATGTGATCTGAACATGCATCTGGTTCTATTGTATTTGTCATAAAAAATAAAAGAGATTTTTTCACATATAGTATTACCTATACAGTTGAGAGGGTGAACTGACAGAATGGGAGACAGAATCTTCTAAGAGAAACAAATTGATGGTATAAAGAGCCTAATATGAGCAACATAGATAGTCAATCTAGAAAGTATGTAACCTCCACAGACGCTTTTTCTAAGACACAATATTCAAATTATTGTAATATGTTGCTTGATGTCTTTGTTTAATATTGACTTTTTTTAAAGACATCTTACAACTGACTGCATAATTTGAACAGTTTTAGTAAAAAAATTTTTGAAATAGCATAAAATTAAGATATAATGACATATGAAATAAATAAGTTGTCTTGTTTGTATATTAGGTTTCCGATCTGCAGAAGGCATTGGCTGCAATTAGAGAGGAGAGAGATGGTTTCCAGGGCAAGGTCCAACTTCTTATGCAGAATCTTAAAGCCAAGGAAAAGGAAAAAGAGGCGCTTGAAAAATATCTGCAGAATATTGAAGACGGTGAAAGCAATAATGTTAGAAAGGTAACTTTGCCAGCAACAAAAGGAAATTAATTTGTATATTTGACATTCATAGTTTGTTAAGTCCTCTTATGAACAGAAGATAACTTCAACCTTATCATGTAAGAAAAAAAGATAAGCATCCACCGTTTTGAATGCTGCACATCAAATTCTTTCTCGAACTACAACAACAATATTACCTATCAAACATCACGTTTATTAGAATGTTAATGCATTATTATGTTTTACCTCTTTCATAAGGACTCCAATGTTAAAAGTAGTGAAGAATATGAGGCCGAGATAAGTAGTCTGCAACAGAGACTGAAGGATGTTTGTGAAACTGAAGACAAATACATCAACCTCATCAAAGAGTTCAAGCAGTGCAAAAGTGAGAAAGAGTCTCTGCAGTCCAAAGTTAGACTTATAGGTAAAATGTTTGACTTTATAACGGCAACTTTATAACATTTTATCCTGGCATTTAAGGTCAAAGTTTTTATTTAAAACTGGTAATATATTTTTAGGAAGCTTTACCCTACTGTTTTTAATATAATTGCATGATCAGGATAATTTTGGAAGAATTAGATGGAATTATTTTGTGGATCAAATATCATTTATTTTGTTGCCTTTTGTATTTCAGCTCTTAAACATAAAAAAGATATAGAGAAGTTGAAAGCCTCTGCTGGTGAAGCTAAATCCACTGTTACAGAAACAGTGCCTGCTGGGGACCAAAATGATAAAGTTGACATTACACCAGCAACCGTTATAGCACCAAGCAAACCTACGCCTGAATCAGTAAATGATACTTCCAAAGTTCCCCCAGTAGCAGTAACATCTCCTGAAACTGTTGGTAGAAGAACAAGACTATCATTAAAAAGGAAAAGCCAAACAAGTTTAGACAGTGTTCAAGATACCAGTACAGGGGGAAATAAGCGTCCTGCTGAGGATGTCTTGGCTAATAGAGACAAACGTGCTAAGTGTAATGACAAAGTGACTGTTGATGCAGATGGGGAATCATCAGAAGCAGCAGTTGAAGGACTCCCGGATGTTGTTCAGAAAGGTAAAAATCTGCGTGTCATCAGAGTCGGTTAAGTTTTAAGTCAGTTTAAAAGGTCTTTCCAAAGAAACTGTAGGTTAATTAGGTTCATATGTTCTCACGTTGGATAAAACACTCAAAGTTTTAAGTCCACTTTCAATTTTTGCAAAGACCTGGTCACTCCACCAACTTGATACAAGCCTGTCAGCTTAAGAACCTAACTATTAAGAACACATTTAACATGATATTGCAATTCAAAATTGTGTTGCATTTATTTATTTATTTATTTATTTATTTATTTTTCAGGCTTTGCAAACATTCCAGAGGCCTCTGAGAGTCCCTTTGTCTTGCGTCGCACAACGCTGGCAACCACTTGTAAATCCTCGGATGCCTTTTCTGATAGTGCTCCAGACTCCATTTTACCTAGCAGACCCCACACAAGAAGTCATTCTTCGCAGAACAGCCAGTCTTCTCAGGGCAGTGATAGTGTTAAAGTGTCTCATGAAGATAGCAATCTTGCTGCTGGAAACACAGCCACTACTAGTACAACAAATACTACCAGGAGCATTCCAGTATTGTCCAAAACCAGGTCAATGCAATCACAGCAAAGCAAAAGTAAACTGAGACAGCCATCTGGCATTCCAAAGGTAATGCATATTCAAAATATAACAAAGAAAGAGAGTCTATAATATCCCAGCATGTATTTCATTATGGCTGCTTTTGTTCAGCTTTGGTAACTGTTACTGAGAAAAACAAACGAAAAATATCAAGTTTTTTGAACTGATAACAATTCAACAGTAAGGTTGCATCAACAAATAAGGTTTTTAAGGCACTCAATAGATAAAATACCTTGTCAGTTTAATACTGGAATTTAAACTTTGAATGTTTGCATTCATTTCAGATGGACTCCAAGCCCCTGGCCACCATTACGAACAGTCCCAAGAAACCAGCTCTCAGTGAGGAAGCCAGTAAGCGCAGCAGGTTAATTGGGGCTCCTCAGAGGTGCTTGAGCCTCAAAAAGTCTCCTGAGGAAAAATCTAAAAGGAGGACTAGAACTCAGAATGCTGTCAGAAGAGGAAAGGAGACAGAAACAGCAGCAGGCAGCTCAGAGGCAGAGAACTGCAAACTTCAGTAGATGTGTCTTTTTTTATTTCAGTACACGTGACTGAGACATTCATTTTACATCATTGTAAATACCATATGTTTGTACAGTTAATCAAACATTTGCCTTTGATTCTTGGAGACAACCCTCGTTTCCGTCGCAAAGATTTTAGAATAAGTGATAAGTGAATGCTGTGCTCTTTAGAATAGGCACTCTTCATATAGTGAAGCATTGTTGACATTGGTATCTCAAATTCTCATGTACCTTGTTTTCGTTGTACCATTAGAACTCTTTTTTATGTATGTGTACTAGATGTTAATTGCAAAAATAGCAGCATATTATGAATGATTGTGAAATGATGTGAAATACAAGTATTGTATGTTCTGTTTAATTTTTGAGATGTGGTGTATTGTGCATGTGTACCACACAGACACTGCAGTAATACTATGTAATTTCCAACCTGTTTTATTAAATTCTTTTCAAAGCAACGTTTTTGTTTTGTTTTTAAAGAAAAATTGCATTTAATTTGAAATTTGAAGCAGCAATCTTCAACTACTCCACTGAAATTCATAACTTGATCTGGAAATTGTTTCCATTGATTTGCAACAGGAGGGAGAAGAGTATTAAGTACTTAAATTATTTATTGAATGTTCATTTTATTTTTTCTATTGTAAACAAGACATTAGATCTTTTTGAAAAAAAAAAAAAACAAAATTGGGTAATATTGGACGTACTGAAAATTTATTTGCATATACCACATTCCACCTGGAATCACAATCCCCATTTTCTTTTAATCTACTTAAACTTGCAACAGAAATTAAGTTCATATTCTGACATAATTACCTCTCAAAAATGGCGTATGTATATTTTAACTTCTTAAACCATGTTTAATTTGTGTTAGTTCACAACATTTAAACAAAATGACTAAATAGGCACTTCTTACAGGTGGAATGTTTAATATAACTATGGCAAGTTTCTTGATTTTCACAGATAAATATAATGGAGACTTAAAGGGATAATAACTCTTCGTATGAAATCTATATTTCACAATAAAAACGTGAATAGCTCATAGAAATATAATATATTTTGTTTTACCACAAAAATGGCAGTTATAGCTATTATTCTGATCTCTGAGCTTGTCTTTAGACCACGTGACCTCCATTGATGGCTATACTCTGTTAAGATCTCTTAAGAGATTTTAACAAAAAACCAACTTTTTAGAAAAAAAAACAGGGACTAACTTTGAATGTAAAAATGGATTCATTAACCATTGGTAAGTATGGGAAAATTGTTGTTTACTCTAGGAAAATTCATTTTTTGGCCGAAACGAAGAGTTATTATCCCTTTAAAAAAGTTGATGCACAAGGTCTAAAGCTTAGAGTAAGTTTTAATCCAAGTTTTCTTTATACGACTTTTTCAATGCTTGGCGAGCTTGGTTTTTTAACTTCCTACTTTCATTTTTAATTTCCTGTTTTCTCTGAGTTTTCATAACAATACCATCTTCGCCATTCACATGAACATCAAGTTTAATCTGAAGCATTTCTCTTGCTTTCTTTTGGTTTTCTGCAAGAGACCTACTTTCATGGCATTTCGCTGTCAGCCCAGTCGGTGTGTGCTTTACAATTACTGCATTCATAGTTTTATTAACTGACTGACCACCAGGACCAGTACCATATCCAATCTGTTCTTCAATTTCACTCTCATCTAATGGAGGAAATGCATTCTTGGGGTACTTAACACTGGTAGATTTCCCCCTGACACTCTGGAGTGTTATTGGCAATGGCTTATAAGAATTTTGTAGTCTAAATTCATTTTGATAAACAACTGATGCTGTCTCAGTTGATAACATTCTATTGCATGAAGTTCTCCATAAGTGGGTTAATATACAATTGCCTCCAGCACACGAATACAAATATGACAAGGAAATACCATTTCGCATGAAATACATCCTGGCAAATGTTCACCAATTCAAGTGTTACTGTCAACTGTTTTTTTATTATTGTAATTTTCCAATGCTTTTTCCAACAAGTCTGGCTTGGCACTGTGTTTCATAAGATATTCCCCATTAAAATGAAACACTGGAATATCATACTGGTACTTCCTTTTCCATTGTTCATTTCCTGGTTCATCTATGTAAACTTCTTCAAAATTAACCTGTAAAAAGTCCAAAGCACTTTTGTGATAAAGCTTTGTAGAATATTTTAATATAATTTAACTGAAAGGTTTAATCTTTCTTGTATACATAAAAATAAAACGGGGGCGTCTCGATAGTCCGAAGGTNTCCTGGTTCATCTATGTAAACTTCTTCAAAATTAACCTGTAAAAAGTCCAAAGCACTTTTGTGATAAAGCTTTGTAGAATATTTTAATATAATTTAACTGAAAGGTTTAATCTTTCTTGTATACATAAAAATAAAACGGGGGCGTCTCGATAGTCCGAAGGTTCATTGGTCCGAAGGTTCATTGGTCCGAAAAGTGGTAACATTTTCATCGATTTTTTAATCAAGGGTTCATTGGTCCGAAGGTTCTATAGTGAACATTCGGACCAATGAACCTTCGGACTATTGAACCTTCGGACTATCGCTACGGCCCCAATAAAACAATGAAATGTGCCAAATTTTGAATTGTCTAAATAATAATACTCCTGCCATTTTATTGAAATTTTTCATATTTACTACAGAATTACAGTGTCATAATAAACATAAAACGTAAATAAAAGAGTAAGAGCATAATTACTCACACTACAAGTTATAAAATTCACATCCTTTGATACTCAAATTTCAGAATAATTATAAAGGTAGCATTATATGTAATAATCCCAACCCCACAGATGACGTACCAATCCCATATACTCCTCCAGTTCATCCTTTGCTACAGTACAGAGCGAACATTGTTCGTTTGATTTCGTGAACAGGGTTAGGGTCGGTTTATCCTGGAGTCGAACACTGGTAAAGAGTGCTCTGCTGTGCTGGAATCGCTCAAAAAGTAACTCTTTCCTACGTATTGGCAAATAAAGCAGACGGAAATAAGGAACAATTCTACACATTGGTTGTTTAATTGCAACTTAGAGTATGAGAATCACTTGAATAAAGAATCACTTGTTCAAATTCCCGACTTCAACTTTGCCTTCTCGAGGAAATGAAGGCAAGAATAAGACCTATAAATCAAGGTCATCAAGATGGAGGGTGTGCGCGGAGCTCTAGAATACTCCGCTCGGGAATATGATTTTATAGTGTTTGGAGCGAGCGGCTTCACGGGACAGTTTGTTGTATCTCAACTTGCTAAGCTGAGAGATGAAGAGCCAACGCTGAAGTGGGCCGTAGGTGGACGTAGCATGTCAAAACTTGTCAATACTTTAAAGGAAGCTGGAAGCCGGGCAGGTTTGTTGCAAGCAGCTACCCCCCCTCACACACACACATTATGTGACACATATGAAGTCTGCGGCTGTCATTCCAAAAGAAATCGAATGAATTGCTTTCGTGTCTTTTACATGAAGCTGGTTATAGAATGACATGTAGGTCATACTGTATTCTCACTGTAGAAATACATTTACATGCACTGTACACATACATATGCACGTTATACAGTAGATATGATGAGTGACAATTTAAATGACTGAAGAATGACAGGGAATGACCACAAATGAAGTGTTGCGGGGAATTTTATCTCCTGCTTGTCTGACTCATGTGACAGACAAAGCGGGGAATATGCGACTCAATAATGTGACAATGTGTCAACTGGTTAAATAAATTTAAATGTATACTATATGGATATGAACACTTTTTACCCCATTTCTTTATTTCTAGGTACATCCCTTGCTAGTATTGACTGTCTTCTTGCTGATTCCAAAGATCCTGACTCTTTGGTAGAGTTGTGTGGGAAAGGCAGAGTAGTACTCAGTTGTGTAGGACCTGTAAGTTCATATTTTGTACTGATTGTGTTTGATGTCTTGCTTGCCATTGAATATTTTCCCCCTGAAATATACAATTTTGTGTGTGACAAGTGGCATAATTTTTTTAAGATCTTTATTCTCAAAACATTTTATACAAATTATTGCTTGTGGCATAATTAATTCTATTATGGTATATGTTAAAAAATGTTAAACTTATTTTTACTTAAAATTATTTTTCATTAATTTAATGTTATTTGATTTATGTTTATTGTCATTTAAAATGAAAAGTATCATTTTCTGTATGAATACTATGGTGGCACATGCTCCCCTAACTGTATATGTGATAAAAAAAAAATTGTATTATTCAGTATCGTTTCTGTGGGGAGCCAGTTGTGAAAGCTTGCGTTGAAGCTGGTACAAATTATGTTGATATATGTGGAGAGCCACAGGTAAACACAGGTGTACATACATGCACATGATAAACTTGCTCATGTACACATATGTAAGCATACACATACTGTTTATATACACGTGCACTTAGAGAGAGATAAAGTATGGTGCTTTCAAGTTTGTAACAAAGATTATCAAAATGATGTTCACTTACCTATTTTAAATATATTTTGTTTCTAGATGCAAAGATGTAACAAAATTTATTGTACTTAAATTAACTCGGCATAAATTCACACTGAAAAATCTCCATCAACACACATAAATTTAATGATAAGATATGTTATTTCTTTGTCAAGTTTTTGGAAGAGATGCAGTTAAGGTATGATGCCCAGGCAAAAGAGAAAGGAATATACATAGTTGGGAGTTGTGGATTTGATAGCATTCCTGCAGAAATGGGATTGCTTTTCACCAAGAACAAATTTGAAGGTATGAGATTTTGTGAGGGAAATGCCAGAAAAATTACTTTTCTTGACTGTTATGAAGATTGAGCAATATTGACACTATGGAGATGTGTATTTATATTGTCTATGGTTGGGATTATGAAAATAATGATTTATCAGAGACAGTGGCTTGAATCTCAAGATGTGTCATCACTTCCATATAAAAGCCTTTGTTAATTTTATAAACAGTTATTCCCTGACAAGATTAGTGCAGGCAAAAGTTGGCCAGGGTTCTTTATACTTGTGATAGTTTTTTTCACTACTTTTCACTGTTTTCACTCTGTTACAGGGGATCTGAATTCTGTTGAAAGCTTCATCCAGATTAAGTTTGCAGTACCAGAGGTTTGTGCATTTTTTTATTTGCTTGTGTGTTTTTTTCACAGTTATTTTTATGCTCAAATTTTGTTTGTAAAAATTCCAAACATTTATCTTTTGACATGGTAAGAATTCCTATCTCTCTCTCTCTTGGAATTTAAGTTGGAACAGTCAACAGTGCAGCAGCGGTCCACCTCAACTTGGGTGGCTTAAAATTATTGCTATCGATTTAAATGTTTTGCATTTTTTCAGGTCAAAGGAGCTAAGATCAATTTTGCAACTTGGCAGTCAGCTATTCATGGTTTTGCTCATGAAGGGGAGCTGAAACCACTGAGAAAGTTGCTTTGTCCTGAACCCCTTCCAAAACCAACCCACAGGGTAAAAAACAGGTACACTGTAGATGTTTTTTGTTTTGAGGAGAGTGTTTATTCATTGTATAAGCTACAGTTTGCTGCATTGTAATATTGTAAATATTAATTGTTAGATCTCTCTGTCAGATCACTTGGATTTGCGCCAAAAACTGCCATGGGATCTTTGTTTTGTTCCTGCTACTCCCAAGCTTCAAGGTTGTGGGTTCAAGGTTGTGGTTTCGAGTCACAGCATGCATGCAAAAATCCTGCCATTTTATATGTGCCTTAAAGGGATAATAACTCTTCGTATGAGATCTATATTTCACAATAAAATCATTGTGAATAACTCATAGATATATAATATATTCTGTCTTACCACAAAAACGGCAGTTATACCTATTTTTTCTGATATCTGAGCTTGTCTTTAGACCACGTGACCTCCATTGATGGCTATACTCTGTTAAAATCTCTTAAGAGATTTTAACAAAAAACCAAACTTTTTAGAAAAAAACCAGGGACTAACTTTGAATGTAAAAATGGATTCATTAATCATTGGTAAGTATGGGAAAATAGTTGTTTACTCCAGGAAAATTCATTTTTTGGCCAAAACGAAAAGTTATTATTCCTTTAACCAAGAAGTAGATAACAAAGGACATTGTACAGACTTCAGTGCAAGGTGTTTGCTGCTTATATTTCCATTGAGTGTGGAAATTCTGTTTTTTTCCAGAGGAGTGTTATTCTACAGTAAAGAAGTAGGGTCCTGGTGCATACCATTCCTGGGCAGTGATAGGTCCATAGTGTACAGGAGCCAAGTGATTAGCTACAGAGACAGAAAGGAAAGACCAGTAAGTGAACATACATATATTTGATAAAGAGAGGAAAAAATGGTTTATTAATGGTCCATAATTGCACAATTTGTGAATGTGATGAACTTTTTTTTTGAAAGATTACTATTATATATATAGATGTCAAAGGCCCGCATCAAATCTAGTCCCATGCATAAAAAGCCCAGACCCCATGTTTATTACGCCCTGGCTGGGCCCATTCTTTATGGTGTCTTTGCATTGTTAACAGCATAATGGGCAAGGCCAAGCTGCCGGTTTGTTTGTATGGCATGTGCAGGGGATGTCTTAGATCAAGGTACATATCATGATACTTACAGGTGTGGCAAATGAGATATACTTGTATTTCATTACCTGGGATTTGTAAAATACATCAGAGGATGATACTTTTAAAGATGTTTAATGTTTAAAGAAAAGACAGGTAGATTGATTTAGTAACATTTACTAAAGATATGTTAAATTAAAGATGGGCTTCATTTGTGCCTTGATCTAAGACATCCCCTGCACATGCCATACAAACAAACTGGCAGCTTGGCCAATTAACTTGGTCAATTAACTTGGTCACTTAACTTGCCCATTATGCTGTTAACAATGCAAAGAAAACATAAAGAATGGGCCCAGCCAGGGCATAATAAACATGGAGTCTGGGCTTTTTATGCATGGGACTAGATTTGATCCGGGCCTTTGACATAGATATAGATGATTAAGATGGTTGCATGTAGAAGTGATATTTTCTTATGTATCATGTAACAAACATGTATTCCTGTAAGTAATGTGATGGTATTTGTACATCTCTCCCCATCACCACTACCTCTTTTGGTAATTATTTACTTATTTGTTCTATTTGTTGTACTCTTTTTAAACATTATAAATATATCCATAAGAAAACTTACTCAGGATTGACTCCCATTTATTCATAATGGACAGACAGCACCGTTTTTTCTTTTTGTTATGATCAATGTCAGAAGGCTATAAATGTACAAACATTGTTTAGAAATTTATTCCATACGTATTACCTATGAATATTTCAGATTCAGTTCCTACCATACACAAAACTGCCATCTTTGATAAGTGCATTGGCTGTGCTGTCTTTTGGAATTGTCTTTGGAATTCTGGCCAAATTCAAATGTGGACGTTGGCTTTTAGAAAAGGTACCTGTAAAAGTAATTTGTTTTCGAGTTAGGTCAACATTAAAGTGAATTTAAGCAATTGTGTCAAAGGCAAGCACTTTGTGGCACAACCATTTTTCTATTATTTATATATTTTTTGACATGTTAAAGATGAGCATAAAAGATTTACCGCTTTATTAGATTTCATATTAACCCTAACCTTAAAGTATTTTTCATATAACTATTTATCAAGATTGATGTTCAGAATAAAGGCCCCAGATATTTGAATAATGGCTTTGATTTTGTTTAATTAGTTCCCAGGAATCTTCTCTGGTGGACTGGTATCTAAACAGGGGCCACCTTTGGCACAGGTAAGGTGAATATAACAATCAAAACCATTGTATAATGGAAACTATTTTTAAATTAATATTAGAGCAAACCAAGATAATCTTTGTAAACTATTTACCCTTACTTGTTATAGTTTTTGAACATTTGATTATGGTGATATACTTAAATGTTCTTTTTTATTTTGATTTTGAAATAGAATGCATGAACTTAAATGCAGTGAATTCTCTTTCACAAGTTCTGAATTAAATTTGAGCCCACATTAAACATACATGAATCTGAATTCATTTTCATAGATCCAAGGCTCTTCCTTTACAATGACATTCTTTGGGAAAGGCTACAGTCAGATCCTTCCTGATGCAGATCAACAACACAATGAAACTCCAGACAAGACCATTGTCACACGTGTTACAGGACCAGGCAAGTTTGCCCAGCTTTACCTGTGGAGATTTTGAAATGATTTTGATGCTATTGGAAATAAAATGTACTTTTGATGCTTGGAGAGAGAGTATCAGTAAAGAAATAAGATGAACAAAGGTGAACATGTACTTATTACAAATGATAATGCAGTAATCCTTTATAGGAATGAAAAAAGCTCATTCCATTCAGGTTGAATCTAGCTTACATGATCGGAGAAGTGATCTTATTGAGGTTGGCCACTAAACTACTATTGTGCAATCACAGAATTACTTGTAGGTACCGAATTTATCGTAATCAGTGGCGGATGGAGGCCGTTATCTGGGTCAAACTAATTCAAGTTTACACTGATAGGCATCTTATTTTTCCTGTCGAAAGGCGGTCAAAAATGGAGGATGGATCAGCAAAGATAGTTAGGAAACTGCCAGAGAATATCTCTGGATCCGCCCCTGATAATGTATGACTTCTTTTACAGAAGCAGGCTATGTGACCACACCCATATGTATGGTAGATGCTGCCTTGGTGATCCTGAGAGAGCAAAATATGTTGCCTGCTGGGTAAGCACATATACAGCAGTATTGTTCTGTTTGAATAAATAAATAGATATTTCTTTATTAAACCATTTTATCAAATGGTGTGGAAATAAGTGCGACTTTTGTAAGGTTTATAAAGTTGTTGATGATTCCCTTATATTTTTAGATTGCTTCCAATTAATGGAATACGAATGCTGTGCTACGTACATGTTGTTGGAGTGAATGGAAATTGCTTTTTTTTAATACTTCATGGTGATAAAAATGTCATCCAGTGCTAATTAACAGTCTTTATCTCACTTTCATATAATCACTGAGGTATTCTTTTCAAAAAACTTGAAGCTTAGATGGATGCTTGTTTATATTTTCAGGGGTGGAGTGATTCCTCCAGGAGCAGCTTTTGCAAAGACGAGCTTGATTGAGAAGTTACAGAAGCATGGCATGAAATTTGAAGTGCAACCAAGCACTTAAGTTTTCAAACATTTCATGACTGAATTTAGATGCATGTGATGTTTTTTTTTTTTTTTTTTTTTTTTTTTTTTTTTTTTTTTTTTTTTTAGTATATTGTTACCATGTAATTTATTAATGTGCTTAACATTCCCTCTAAGGACTTGTTTGAAGTACTCACATATAAAAAGTACACAATTTGATGTATGGTTTACATCATACAATTAGAGACTAGTGCTTAATGGCATAAGATGTAGTTAGTGTGTTTCAGGGTTTTAACATTTTAAAACGATCAATAGTTTCAAGCACATTGATGAGCAGTGTTTAATGATACATGGTAATGGTCCACGTGTTCAGCTATGTCTTGTTTAATGACTTTTTTGTTTTGTTTTTGTTGTGTTACTGACAAGTGTGCCATGTTATAAGGGATACATGTATCAGCTTTACTGTGAGCTTGATGCACTGATAAAGAGACTCAAAAACTTACGTGTTGTGACTTGATAAATGAGATTAAGTCTCTTGAATCATATTGTGCTATTTATGAATTGAATTGGGCTAATTGTACCAAAGAGATAAAGGCTACTTGCATTGTTTGCTTCATCCCAAAATGAATCTTTTTTGTACTTTATACTGTGTATTAAAGGGGATATTTGATACATAATGATAATATATAATAGCTATGATGCATTTACATTGAATGAATGATTTTAATATACATTTGCCTTGCCAAGTAAGGCGTAGTTAAATTATACAAAGATGCACCTGTATTGTATCTTTTAGGCAATTAATTTTTTGACAAGGTTTATCCAAAGAAAAGGAGACATATCGCTTCTAGCATCATATGCTCTCCTTAATGTCTCATGTATTATTGACAGGAGAGAGAGAGAGAGAGACCTTTTATATCATTTATTTGAAAATGAAAGGATGCATTTTATTTTGAAAAAAAAAAAGGCAGGTACAAAGAAATAAATAGAAATGATAATTTAACTTGTATTTACCTAAACTCCTGCTGTTATTTTGTTTTGTTTTGTTCTTTGCTGCATTCTGTGACATTTTGTTTGCCAATGACCTAAGGTTGAAGAATGTGACACAATTTAACCATGTTCCAGCTTGCTAAGTAAATGTATATTTGAAATAAATGAAACTGAAGATATATAATGGAGAAGCTTTTTTATATAGCACCATTTCCAGTACACAGTTCCCTAGTGATATAATGTAAAATACTATCATCATAAGCTATGTTAAAATGTATAACAGGAAATGACAGCATTTCAACTAAGGACAGTTATGATATTTAAATCATTTTTTTTTTTTCAAATTATTTTTCAGTGTTATGGTTAATAATGTGATATTTGGGTTACTACAGTATGCTGGTAAAGGTAACTGCTGCTGTGAAATGAACCCTTGTCCTTATTTCATTAATGTGGAATATGTGTCGTTCTGAGCAAACTGCAGTTATGATGATCATAATTTTGGAATTCAGAGTAAATAAATAAAATCAAATAAAAAAAAAAAAGAGTGGGTTTATTTATCACTGACTCCAGGAAACCCTTATACTGTACTATTGTTGTTTTATGCTCAATAATGGCCTACAATATGGATTTGATTTTACTCCTCCCTCAACCCCCCCCCCCCCGAAAAAAAAAAAAAAAAACACCTAGCCTTAAAATTTAGTTTCTATGCTCATTTAACATCTTGTTGAAAAAAAAAAACGAAAATAAATTTCTACAGAGATTTTACAGTTGCCGCTTGGTGTGCTGTAGCTGTAATCAACTTATCAGTTCTGTCTGGCCTTACGTAGAATGTATAATATATTCGTGTATAATTGAGAGTAATTTGTTACAAAGAAGTCCGAGAATTGTGACCAGATACCATCTGTGGGTCCTTCACATTTTCATATAAACGTACACAAAAAAAATTTCTTGACCACGTGTGCGTATGTTTACCTCCTCTTCCGGGTTCAAAGGTCACTAGGTCAAAAGTCGCACATGCGTATAATAAAAAATTTGCAATGGCGGATTCGGGTCTTCAGAAGATGACCCCACTGCCGGGGCATAAACCTGTCCCACAGAATCTATACGCTACGTGGGAAATAGATAAATCGTCGCCGAATTGTATACCAAGGTAAGGGGAGTCTTATCCTTTACTCATGTGCGTAGATTTTGATTAGATCACATGTTATTCCTACTCAACGTGCATAATATTCAAACTCGGGTTGTTTACAATGCAATGACAGCCCGGCCTTGGAATAGTATCGTTAGTCATTACAGCCACCAGTCATTATATTACTTATGACTACTTTAACTTCTTTTTAACCCCAAAAAATTCTGAAAACTGTGTTGTCATATGTAAAGCGTACATGCGTTTTATATGAATGAAATGTGTTCATATTGTGAAGCTAAGTACCAGTTCATTACAAACACTGCAATCGGAAAGGAAACAGCTTTGGGCATTCGTTTATATATATAAATGCACGCAATGATCATTGTCATTGTTAATAAAGTCACAACAGCTGCTGCAAAATCAAACTGCTGTCCTTAAATGTATTCAGCATTAGTGAATTTTACACAGATAATCCCTCACTGACTTACACTTGTCAGTCTTAGTCTGTAGTCTTAATGTTTGGTAGTCTAGATAGAAAATAGTTGAATTAGTGCCTCAAATACATGTAAATCTGGATAAAATTAGACTGCAAAGACTTTGTGCTGTTTTTTGTTATGTAACTCATGTTAGGAGATTGATTGTAATTGAAATACCAATGAAATGGGTAATTTTGAAATTGAAATGGGGATTTTTGAGCATGTTATCTCCAGGGTTGTATCTTTATGTAATTTAGCAGGTCATGTATAATTTAGAGATAAGGTCATACTAAACTAAAGCAATGTGACTTACTTAAGATTAGGAAAAATTACACTTATGTATTTGAGTGTTGAAAACATTGTATTATTTATCATATTCATTTAGACTTCATTTTGACTTTTGTTCTATATACTAGTAATTAAAAAAATATGGATATGGTGAGGGGGGCATGTGGCATTGTGATTGATGATTACTTAAGTGTCATATTGATAATGCATGTTGAATAATTACAGTTCTTTTGAAATGCGCTTTTGTATCTGTTTTAGTCTAATTAATACAGAGTGATAATTAAAACTAATTAGGGTAGAAATTCTTTTCTTTTGGGTGGATTTCTATGTGTGAATTATATTTCTACCTTTTTATATCTAAAAGATAATTTCCTGATCTTTGTATCAAATGTTTAAAAAAAGGAATTCCAGGGATTGGGGGGATTACCTTACCATCCTCTGTTCTCATTCCCATTCGCAGACAATTAGCCACTATGATATACAGTTTTTATCTGTGTGTTTTGCTTGAATGCATTTATGTGTAGTGCTTTTTGATAAAGTCTAAGTGTTCTGTAGTTAGAGTTGGTAGCTTCAGTTAATTATATCATGCTACTTATTCAATGTATACTGATGCTCAATCTACCCAAAAAGTCAAATTGGACTAGTCTTCACCATTTTCTGTGGAGACCAAAAAAAAAAACTTTTTTTTTTTTGTCAGAAGTGTTTATTTTAAGACTGGATAGTGCCATATAGGTGAGTCATGTACTTTATTCTATGTTTTATAATAGCACTCTATTGTCAATAGAAAATATGACTCAGAAAAATTAGTATGTCAATCAGAAGGAGGAGGGTGTCCATCCTTAGTGATTTGATTATGCATTGGATAAAACTCATGGGAATCTAACATGTTCTTTGATTTTCTGCCAGTTCATACGTGATGGGATAATGTTATTCATGCATGCCTGTTAAACTCATTAAAGAATCTATTTTAGGTACTCTCAGCATGATATTGCAAACAGATTCTGCCCTTAGGTTCTTCTAGATTTTTGTAAAGCTATTTCTTTAATGCAAATATCTGCTGCCTGAACTTATTGCTTGTTTAACCCACTTGTCATCTTATTTGTCCTTTTGTGGTTTTAAAGTTGTTTTTTTTTTTTGTATTTTTCCTTCTGTTCTGCTATATTTTAAGTTACCACTCAAAATTATTACTCACTGTGATATATGTATGATTCTCCTTGTCTAAAGCAGAAAATATTAAATCTCTGTTCAGATCTGACCTCAGTCGTAAATCGATATTAGTGGACATGATATGGACAGGCACATCCTTCACTGTATTTTTAGTATGTTTCTTTTTCTGACAATTGAGACAGCATCTCTGAGATACTTGATATTAACCCAGCATATTGTTTGAAGAATTTGTTGTTGTTGTTATTATTATTATTATTATTATTATTATTATTATTATTATTATTATTATTGAGTTAACCATTGCAATCAACATTTACTGTAGCAAACTTTGAACAAGCTCTTCATCTTGATAATTTTTAACCCCCCCCCCACACACACACACACATTCATGGACACACATACACACGTACACACACACATACACACTGTGATCTTCAAAAGGGCAGACAAGTGCAGACTGTTTATACAATACAAGCATATTTGCTACCTTTTATTTACAGTACTAGAAATAAACCACTGGCCCATTGGCTCCTTGACAGGTGATTTAATAGAAATCAACTGAGATAGTTGTGTGACTCTCAGCAAGATTTTGGGAGATTTGGAAGAGAGTGGGGTGGGGGTCATTTATAATGGTAGACTAGTGAGTATGGTGCAGCAACATATAAAAGCTGATAGAATTCATCCATGGATACCAGGCACACGAGGAAAAGTAAGCCCACCTCAAGCAGGTTCTTGCAAATCTTAAAGTCTGGTGTGAAGTCGCATAGATATCCCTACTGGACCTGAAAATCCCCACAAAATCTGGTTCCTTTTTTTTTTTTTTTTTTTTTTTTTTTAATTAGGTATCATTTGTGAAAGAGGATCAGCAAACCTAATTTACCTTGCTAGCTTTCATTCTATGGCCACTGAGTTGCATGTGTCAAAAATTTATGGAAATGTTCAACTGCATTTTAATTTCTGCAGATAACTGTAGGCAAAATGTCAGATTCACTTTTGATGTGTGATAAACTTCCATTCCTGTTTAGAGAAGTACTTTTT